TTAAGTTTGCTTAAAAGAGATTCACCATTAACAGTTCTATTAACGCCAAATATAATCCTACATGCATGTTTTTGTTTGCTATAGATTTTTTTAAGTTTCCCATAATTAGTACTTCCCCATGCAATATTGCAATAAGAAAGATAACTATGAATAAATGAAAAATATATAATTTTTAAAGACTCAATATTAAGAAATGGTTTAATTTTATATAACATTGAAATATTTTTGGAGATTTTGCTTTCAATAGATTTAATATGATATTTCCATGATAAATTTTCATCTATAATCACTCCTAGAAAGTTAACAGTTGACTCTCTTTTAATAATTGTTTTATTCATAAAGAGATTGGGTAATTTTAGAGAAAGGTTATCTCCCCTTTATCCCCCTTTATTCCCCCTACGAGGTTTGTGGAACAAGATAAATTTAGTATTCTCATCATTTAATGAAAGTTTATTATTTGTAATCCAGTCATTTATTTTGAATAATTCTTCGTTAGATATTCTAAACATATTATATATATTATTGTGTGAGTAAAAAAAATTCGAATCATCAGCAAACAAAATAACATTTAAAACTTTGGATGCTAAGTATAAATCATTAATATAGAGTAGGAATAAAAGCGGCCCTAGGATTGATCCCTGGGGAACACCACAAGTTATAATATGATTTTCAGTTTCATTTGCTGTATATAATATGCATTGTTTTCTGTTTGACAGGTAACTTTTAAACCATAGTAAGTTATTATTAAGTATTCCATACAGTTCTAGTTTTTTTAAATGAATAACGTGGTTTACAGTGTCAAATGCTTTTGACAAATCAATAAAAACTCCTAATGTATAGCAATCATTATTGAACCCATTGGATATATAATTTATTAGATCGACTACCGCATGATCAGTTGAATGATTCTTTTTGAACCCAAATTGTTTGTTATACATTATATTGTTCTCAGTTAAATAAATATTAAGTCTATCATACATAATTCGTTCTAACAATTTTGAGAAACATGGTAAGACAGAAATAGGTCTATAATTAGACATAATCGTGTCATCGCCAGATTTAAAAATAGATATGATCTTAGCAATTTTTAATTTCTCCGGTACAATACCGGATTCTAGTGAAAGGTTAAAAATATAAAACAGTGACGGTTCAATATTGAATTATGTTTAAAAAATTAAAAAAATTATTTACCAGAACAAAAAAATATTACTATTCTTAAAGTTACAATATGTAACGTACAAAATGTAACGTAGAAAGGCGCAATATATCAATTTATACAAAATGATAAGAAACAGTTCAAAGCAAAATAATTTAATCTCGTTTGATGAAGTGCAACTAAAAAAGAAGAGAAAAAATGAAGCTACGAAAAAACAGAACACACACACACACACAAAAATTATAACTCAAAAACTCATACGAGGTAAAAATAATTGACTGGTATCAATTTGATCAAGCGCGCCCGACGGGATTATACACTTTCTATTTATATTTTTACTGAATTAAATTTGTATGAAATTTAATTTAGTATTATACCTATATATAGTATTAATATATATAAATCTAATATATATGAATAAAATATAATAGTAATAATATATTGTTTTATATATTGGAACAAAAATACACTTGTTCTAAATTAAATATTTTCATTTTTTCAATTTTCTTTTTTTCAACACCAATTTCTCTCAAGAAAAAAAACTATTCATTCAAATTTGTCATTCAAATAAATTTTATTACATGTACAGTTTGATAATATTTTACTCAGCATTAAATTATATTTCTAAAAGTATATCATGTTACGATTTCAAGAAAGAATATTTTTTTAAAAACAATGACGTCATAATTTCCACTTTAAATTCACAAATGATACTATCTTTAAACTCTGCGAAACCAAACTTTTTACTCAGCATTAAATTATTTTTCAAATAATATATAAAAATTATAATTTTGGCAATATAAAAAGTTTAGTCATTTTGCCCAAATTTTTGATTGAAAAATAGGCCTAAAATGGCATTTGCTGTTTTCAAAACACGGGGCTTTTTTTTTTGTCATTACTGACACGCTAAATAACCTAAGTACAAATTCCTAACTTTATATAATTTTTTTTCCGGGTTTGGGGCACGGATCCCTAAATTACTTCTATCTCCTCCCCCCGTCCCCCTCAAAACACAAAAAAATTATACATGAAAACAAAAGCCTGATTTTTAAATACAATTTTGATTTAATTTTATTGAAACAAGTATGTTACATATTATATAGCTAAGAATTTGTAATTCTTAGCTATACAATAATAGTAAAAATGTGATTAAATATAATTGAAAAATTTGGCTTGGGCCCCTAATAAGTAGGACTCTTCCGCGGCTGTGGGCCCATCGCTACGCTTCTGGTTTGGAGGTGTTTTTAACTAATTCCACCATACTAGTTGCAATGAGCATATGCAGTTTTTCATTACAAATACAAGACGACAAACCTTTGTGTAACCATCAATTGCTACAGCACTATCATATCAATGCCCCCTGCAACTCATGATATATAAAGAAGAATCTGAAATACTTTTTAACAAAATATAAAAAAATCCCTAACTAGTAACACCATTTGTGCAATCTAAAAAACTGATCAACTCTCTTATTGAACTTTGAATCAACAAACCATATAATTAATAATAGTTGTTTTTTACTTTAACTGTTAGGAGCTTCAGTAGCAAATATAGAAAAATGATTAAATTTTTTTTATTATTTTATAATTAAAAACTTCTTTAAAACACTTTTTTACCTTATGAAATTGTCTCTTAAATATGTAGGAAGCATTTTTTTTTAATAATATCTAAGTTGATCCTGAAGAATTTTATCACAAGCTTTAACGCGGAAATGCTGCAAATACTTGGTTTTTTAAGAAAACTTAAGTTGACAAGACTCGAACCTTCACAAGAAATGATATTTTTCTGTAATATACCTTTCAAAGTGATTAGTTTTGTTTTGTTTCATGATGTTTTCAACTTTATGATTTAGTAAAACTTTAGACTTAGTCTTCTAACATCTAACTTTAACATTTTAAATATCATAATATCATAAAAGAGAAAATATAATATAAAAATATTATAAAAGGAAATATATAATATAAAAATAATAAACCTATTTTTTTTAGATTCAATTTTAATTTTTGGTACGTCTACATACGTACTAGACGTACCCTAGATCCGCCCCTGGGGAACACTGGGGAGGGGGCAATGGGTAGTGCCACTTCCCCCAACTTTTTCTTAAGGACTTTTTTCTTTTTTGAAGAAAAATATTGATATAGAGGACTTTTTTGACAAATTTATGATTGTGCTTCCCCCCCCCCCCCCTACTTTAAAACCTGTGTAGTCGGCCCTGTACTTCATTATTGTATTTAAAAGTACTTGAAATATTTCTGTACAAGGTAATACTAAAAGCCTACTATTTTCGTGTTTCAATCGATTCAAATCCAGATATTGCTCACATTAACTAACCGAGTATAGTTCTTTGATAAATTTCACGGTTTTTAACATTTTTAACTATAAAACGTCAGTGCAGTCAGTGCAGTCATTGCAGAGCAGGTTTTACAATTTTTAAGCGAGATTCGTTACTTATATATTACGTTAAAAATACTTAAGGGTTAGCTTACAATAACGCCGCAAATATATTTGAGGAAACAAGCGTTACAGTCTAATATAAATGTATAGCATGTGCGACGCATTTGTTAAATTTAATTCGACAAACTGCTATGCAATGCTAATTTGCAGTTGTTTTTTTTTCTGTCGTGTTTTTTTTTTATCGTGTATAAGTTTCTTTTTTGAATTAGACACATTGCTGGATTATCTTAAAACAATACACAGTGAATCAAAAAGTACTCAAGTCATTGCCACAGAAGTTAGAAGCTCACGCGAATGCCACCGTTCTCAAATTTTTTAATGCAGTTTTCACTGCATTAAGTGAGTTTCCAAAAGATCATACTCAAAAAATCGAAACCAGACACAAAGCTGAATGTATTGCAAATAAGAAACTTTTGAATTTGTCGAAATTATCTCATAATTAGATTAATCCTGAGATGAATTAATTAAAAATAATTTTTAATAAAAATTATAAATACTGGATTTATCTTATAATTTTTTATAGTGTTCAAGAAATTTGGCATTGGTAAATATTTATATTTATGAATATACGCACTTTATTAATCGATAATCCTGAAAAAGTAATTTTGTTAAAATGGAGCCCTCAAAACTTTAAGTACCTAGAGCCCCAGTTTTCCTCGGCACTGGACTTATATTTGATCTAGAATGATTTGTTAGATATTTGTTGCTTAATACACTTTGTTTCATCAAAGCAAATTTTTTTTATCAAAAATGCTGAAACCAATTTTATTGTGTTTTTTTCATTAACTCATAGCCGACGACACGGGTTTCGAAGTGGAGAGGTACAATTGTCTATTTCTAAAAAAAGTCCTCTATATCTAGAATTTTCTCTTAAGTTAAGTACTTATTTTTGGTAATGATAATGAAAAAATAAAAAAAATTTAAATGCATAAATACTTTTTTACAAAATCTAAATTGTAACTAAGTTTTGATTGTGGAATCTTTTCTGGAAACTCTTTAGGAAAATTTCTGTCTATTTTTTCCTAATTTATTGAAAAACAGTTTTTCCCGCCAATGTCGCATTATGGTTAGAGTTAGCACTAAATACTGTTTTGTTAAGTTAGGGTTAGCGCAATTATTATTATTATTATTTATTTGTAGATTACTTTTTTTAGTTCTAGATTGTTTCCTATAGTAACAAATTTTTTTTGAATGAACAGTTGAATATCGATGATTTATTATTTTGAGTATTATGAAAAGTTAGAAATAGTTTTGTTTACGAGTATGCAGTTTCAAATTAAAATTTTTAAGTTTTTAAATTTTTTTTAAATGTAAGTTCTCAAAGACAATAAAGAAAAAAGGAAATTTTTTAATTTTATTTTTATGCATTATTTCACTAGTTACATTACGGCGTTTCTAATCTGCAGAAGTTGCAAATACCGCATAAACGTTTACACATGTTCGTCCAGAGTTATCCCCTTGCCAGCCATGATTTATTAGATCCTCTCCCCACCATACTTGAAGGTGATCCATGCTTCTAACATATGTTGGATAGCAAAAGTTTTTGAAGACAAGATCGGAAGCTGTTGATATTGTTCCTGGAAGAGTATACCAGTTTCCGGCGGCTAGTGTTACTTCATTCTTTGGAGGGAATATAACTTCTTTTTTTTCGTCAGTTATAAAAACATTAAGTTTAGTTTGATCAGCGCATCCCCAATTACTGCCTTTTTCTGAAGCAGAGCATTGTATAGCTCCAGATAGATACGATAACTTAATCGCTTTAAGGAACCCAGTTTTTTTAAGCATTACTACACCAAAAGCATCGTTGTTTCCATGGAAACATACATTTGTTCCAATTTGCTCCCACGTTAAATCTAGGCAAGTTAAATAAAAATTTCAGAAAATTTTACATATAAAACTTCGAAATAAATACATTAATATAAATAGTTTATAACGAAAAATGTATAATAATCATAATACATCACGCCCGTATCAACCGTGGAGGGGGCAGCAGGGGCATTTGTCCTTTTTCTCCAATAATTTTTCAAATAAATAATTTTGAAAAAATTGACTGAAAAAATTAATAAACATTTCACACAAAAAGAAACAGTTTAAAAGTTTTGTTGCATCACTATTTACATAGCATGGATCTTAAACACAGTTCAAAAATATAAAAACAATTTTTTAAAAAGAATGAAAAACCAAATGAAATTCGTCCAGAAGGTTTTCAAGAGTAGAGTTGCAACATTTAAACTTTAAAACAAAGAAAAAAAAAACCAAACGAACAAACAAATAAACAGACATCGACGTTAAGATATAAATATACATATATAATCAAATATGCAGATATCGTATAAGTAAAATGCTTTTTCTGTGAAACACTTTTTTGTAAACAAAATGAAAAACCGTTAAACATAAAATATAGATAAATTAAAAAAACTAAGCATACCGTCATCAATATCTCGTTTTGAGATTACGCTGTTGGATAAGACGACTGTCGGTAGAACACACAGCAAAAAAAGCTTAAAATTCATTTTGCGAAACCTAAAGTAATAGTTGTTTTTTAGTATTAGTACATTATTAATTTTATGTTGTTAATGTCAAATATTTATACTAAATGTTGTTCTAAATATAAGAACCAATGTTCAAAAATTGATTTTAAATTATTGTTTATACCGATGTCAAATAAAAAAATACATACAACTTTTCTCGACAATAATTATGAAACTTCTTTTCTGATTTTCTCAACTTCTATTTATGATTAAAAATGATTAACGAAAAATCTTTTTATCCGGTACTTTCAATGAAAATAGGTGTTAGCACATACCTTTCGTTTGTATAGCTTGTAACCTTGGTAAAATTTGGTCGGCTTTATTGGTTCGATAAACTGACAGTATACTTTTCAAAATTCAACTAAAAGAATCTTTTCTATAAGAAACAATTACTTATTATCTCAAAAACATCAATTTGTTACTTAAGTTACCATTCCAAGTCTCTAAAGTATGTCAAACAAAAAAATAATTTAAGTTTCTAAACAGACCTTAATATTTTTAGACTATCATAAAAGAATTGAAAAGGGGTAAGGCTAAAATATTTACTAATAAGTTTTTAAAAACATTTTCAGAGATTTATTTTTATATTTAGTTCAACACCCCTTTTATAAACTCAATATTTAACACTCTTTATAAACTTAATGTTCAACACCTTAGCAACAAAAATATAAACCTTTACCTTGCGTCTTTATTTATAGAAAATCATGCTATTAGTAATTTTGCTTTCTTTTGTTTTGGTGTGTAACGTTGCTGGTGATGCTGGACAAGACTCAAACTCTTCAGGACGTAAGTTCTCCTATTACCAAAAACGGTATTTTATTTCTAAATTACCGTTATTATTATGCCATCGCACCAATGTTATTTTTTGTTTGAATTTAGATTAATTATAAAATATGTTTTTCATTTTAAAGTATAAATTTTGAAGTATTAAGTTTTTTTAAAGAAACATTTTTGTATAGCTCGTATCTTTTTCCTTTTTTTTTTTTATTACAATCTAATTTATAAAGAAAAACTTAACTTAAATTAAAAATATTATTTATGGTAAAAAAAAAAATTCATACTAAGTTTTAAATACCACAGTTTTATGTTCTTTTCATTTTTAAATTTGTTGTTATTAACATAAATATCGATGTCATTAACATAAATGTCGATGTTATCAACATAAATATTGATGTTATTAACATAAATATCGATGTTAATAACATTAATTCTATGTTAATAACATAAAAACCTATATCATTACCATAAATATTGATGTTAGTAGCAAAAATATCGATGTTATTAACTTAAAAATTGTTAAAATTATTATCTTTTTTAGTTTTTCAGTGGGAACCAATTAGTAACAAAGTATGTTTCCATGCAAAAGGAGATCTTCCTGGTATAATATATATGCATAAGACTGGGTTTATTGTTGCAATCAAACTAGTATATCGCAGTGGTGCAATGAAATGCGTTGCAACAGACACTGGAAGCAATTGGGGATGCGATGACAACACAAAGATTAATGTTGTTGTTGCAGATAGTAAAAAAGAAATACTTTTTCCATCAAAGCAACAAGTAACATTTGCTGCTGGAAACTGGTACACTTTACCAGGCACAATGAGCGTTGATGAAGAACTAGTTCTAAATGATTTTTGTTCACCAGCTTACGTTAGCAATGGAGATCATTTATTTATTTGGTGGGGAGAAGACCATAACAACTACTCTGAAGGTGATAATTCTGGGCATGTATGCGTAAAAGTTTATGCATTATTTCAAGAAGCACAACGTTGAAAATGTTTATTATGTACACAATAAAAATATGTAATAAATTTTGATTTTCCTAATTAGTTTATTTATCTTTTTTCTAAATAATTTATTGTAATTTATGGGTAACACCATATAAAAGGGTGCATTTCAAAAATCTAGTTTTAGAACTTGGCTCCGTTTATTCTGTGGGGCCTAATTAAAGCTGCATTTTTTTACTTTTAAAACTCTTTTTCTAAAAACATTTTACAAATTGCTTTCCAAAAAAAAAAAAATTAAATATATATTGAAAAAAACTATAAGTAAAGATTTTGCTAAAAGGAATAAAAAAACGCGAAAACTCATCACCGAGAACATCTAAAATTAAACGCGTCAAATAATTGTTTGAATGTTATATGGCATCTTTTGAACCCTAAAATATATTTTGATAAAAATCTATTTATACATTACATTTCAATTTTAGATAAAGTAACTTTTTTATTCAAAGTTTATTTTTTCTTGAGCAGGTGGTTACTGGTTTTTTGAATTTTTGACGGTATCTTTTGTTGCAATAGCTACAAAAAATTTATATAAAAAAAAGGAAAAAATTCAAACATATTATTTTCAATAAATAACTTAGTTGTTGATAATTTTCTTTTATTAAAAATGTCAAAATATTGATTTATAAAATTATAATAATCTGAAATAGAAAATACTCAACAGAAAAGTTTTGCTTTAAAATGAGCAAAATTTTGTTTCCAAATAAATTCATTCAAAAAGTAGGAACTGGAACATGAGGAAGCTAAACAAACAATTGTTTTATTAACAGAAAGGCCATTCAGCTGAGTTAAAATAAGTATTTTGCTCTGTACTGAGAAAAAGTCGGGTTCTGGTATTTATCGCCCATGAAAAAAAAAAAAAAACTAATAAAAATCTCTATGACTTGATTAATTTAAAAGTTCCAAATGTTGCTGATAGTTGTTGTTGTACAAATAATATTTGCTGATAGCTGTTTTTGTACAAATTTGTTGTTGGCGAACTCTTGCAATAGAAAGAAACTTACAATAGAAAACAAACATTTACAAGTTGTTAAGCAGATTAGGAATGAAACTATATTAAACATGAAGATATAGCATCATCATCGAAATTGTGCAGTGCTACGAATAGTACGAGATAATAAACCTATTTATTCTAATATATGAATTTTGTTTCTTCTAGAATTTAGATCATTCAAATTTCAAAATTGCAGATTACTAGCAGACAATTTTTTGAAGTACCAATTGGATAGTAAATGTCAAATGCAGATGTAAACCGCATGCACAGAACTTCACGTATAAAAATCTAAAACATTATTTTGAAGAAAAAAGTAATAGTATCCAGTATCAATATCCATTATCCAGCATGGTAATAACGTTTGTGATTTTAATAAACCTGTGCCGTAATATTTAAGATCTTTAGACAGAATGACACTTTTTTCAATTGATTATCAGGAATAAAACCCTGAGGAGATTTAAAGAAAGTAGTTTCTATTTTAGAAATGTTTTCTTTAAACACTATTTAGGTTTTTTAAAAATAGTTTACAAAGCTGTTTCACTTTAAATTTCAAAAATTAGTATAAAATTTTTATATAAATAGATTCCATTTTAAAGAGTATTTTGATTAGGCCAAAAATTTTGCTTGGTTTAACATCACTACAAATATCTGATGCAGTATATAAAATATTAAATAAGAGACTGAAAAGGTTATTTGTTTCTGAAAAACATGCCCATCATCATAAGAAGTTAAAAGCTATGATTGTTGAATACAGTCAAATGAGATTATAAGTAGATGATAAATATTGAAGTGTTTACTTGTACCGCTAACAAAAGTCACAAATAAACTGTTTTCATAATTGGAACATTACTCATGCCACCACTGTTGGCATTTACAACACTGAATCTATTCTTCTTGAAAGGTCACAATATTTTTCTTCACATGCATGACATCTTATAACATCATCCTTTAATGATGATGCAACTTGAATGTTTGTCCTGGATTTTATAGACTTAGGCTTACAGAAACTTAGCTTGAGTTTATTTACACCTTTTTTAGCTTCACGAGCTAGTGCTTCTTTTCTTTTAAACTTTCTTGTTCTTCTGTCTGCTTTTTTCTTTGTTTTCACAGAAAGGTGCACTTGTAAGAATGCTTGAGCTCATTTTTTTTTCGCGTTCTTCTGCTTTAGACAACAATTTGAAATCAAAAACACTAACCAACTTTTTTGGTGCATCTGAAATAGCATTTGTTATAAGTTCTTCTCGATGGTTTACATGATGGTTTTCTACTACTTGGGTCTTACGATTACCATTATTGTTCTCAGTTTGATTACCAACAACATCATATTCAGTAGTTTTTGCAGCAGCAAAGTCATGTTTGCGAAACATAAGTGAATTATAAGGTTCGATCCCATATTCTTTAAACCCATTAACGGCATTTCCAACTGTAACTGTTTTAAAGTTAGCAGTGCTCAAAAGATCACCAATATTTTTTACTGTGATAGGTTGTTCTGGATGGCAATTTTACAATATATTATACTATAATACTGCAATATAGTATTCATACTATTATACTTATAATAACATTTAAGTACTCATATTATTATCAATATATTATTAATTATTATACTTACAATAATATGAGTGATCATAAAGTTGTCATATACTTGACTATAGTATGATTTTAACGGGCTAAAAAATGGAGAGGATGTGATGTGTGGGGAGACAATCCAACCATGATGATGTTTTTCTCTTTGCAATATAATATAGCCTCCAAAGTTATGTGAGTTTTGCGATTGTCAATAATCAATAAAGCAGGAGGTTCTTGGCTTGGTTTCACGTGTAAATAAAAGTGCTTCAAAAATATAAAAAGGTTCCCTCATTGCTTAAGCGATTATAACTACACTGGCCTACAGTTCCTGGTGGGGTTCTTTCTACAAGTTCAGGAAGCATTCGTTTTCTGGCAAAAATTCGAAAAGATGGCAGGTAAAAGCTAGTAGCGCCAAAGCAACAAGCTGTAGTTATATTTCTTCCTCTGTCTGTTAAAGCATTTTTAGAAACTCTTTTAGATCCTGTAGGACTGAGAACCATGGGTAGCTTATTAGGCACAGTAGACAGACCTGACCCATCTGCATTGTAGATTGAAGAAGCAGAATTTATATTTTCCGTTGCTCCCTTAAAATGTTGAAAAATTTGTCTACACTTGGTTTATTGAAACCCATTGCTCTGACAACCGATGTTGCTTTTGATAAGCATACACTAAAATTATACTTCTTTGTAAAATGTTCCTCAGCTTGCACACTGTTTCTTTGTTAATCCAAAAAACATTTTGTCAATTGCTATTATGTAGAGTTTTAAATCTTCTTGCTGTGCAGCATTAAAGACTTCTCTAAATCTTCATCCGTGAACAAGCATCTCCTGAAATAAAAATTTCTAGTGAAAAATATCTCAGGACAAACACTTTACATAATTGAACACAGATTTAATAACAGGATTTAAATCTAGACGTTAGGTCAATTAATTACTAGGTTCAAGTTAATATTTTTCTTAAAATCTGTTCAAAATTTAACTTATTTTAATAAAAATATATTATTCTATTTATTTCCAACTGAAATCTTACAAATAGAATTTTATCGTAATTATATTTAATTGATTGCAATCGAGTCTTCTTGGCGGTAGTTTCTCTCCTTCTTAAATTGCTATATAATAGTTGACTAATATTTACTTAAGTCAACGCAACAACTTTTGGATCATAATCATGGTTAGTTTAATAAATTCCGAAACACGGGGCAAGATGAGGAGCTTGTTATCTTGCCCCCATCATCTTGCCCCGGACTGCCTGTTTAAAAATATTCGTTTTCCTTGCCTTGAAGGAAGGCGAATTGTTGACCTTTTTTGTTAATAGATAGTAATTAAACTAAGTTACTTATAAATGTACAGATTTCCTCAGTCAATGTATGCACACTCACTGTGCCTATGGCTAAATAAATCAGTCGATGTATGTACACGTACAAGTGTTTTAGATGTTATCATTTTTATTGCACCATAGTTTAATAATATGATCTGGTCTGTTTCGATTTCAAACTCAAACCTGTAGTTTCCTGCTCCACCTCATTCTCAGTTGCCGTCCGGATTTTTAATTATTGAAATTTATTAATTAATTATTATATCATATTTCGTTTTGATGTTTGTTATTTACTAATATTCTTATAATGTATTATATGTATATAAATATTTACTATATTTGAAAATTCTATAATTTGTGCATAGAAGTTCAAAATGGGCTTCAATCTTTTAAATCTACTACCTGCTCTCCTTCGTCATCATCTATAGTTGAAATATCTAATACTTTTAGTAAACAAGGTTAGTTTACATTTTTAAAAAATTTTTTTACTCTTACATTATATAAATAAGACTACAATATTGTAAATATAATTTTACCTTTGTAAAAGTTTAAATTATGTGTTTGAAAACTGTGTGTGTTTATTTAAATGTGTGATTGTAAAAATTTACTAAATCAAATTATCTTATATATACAAATATTTTGTGTACATAGATAACCAAAATGCACTACCGTCATCTATACTAACACCAATGCTTGCTAGAGCATTGCATGTGGACCAATTATTACCTGACTTGGTTAACCACCGCATTGGAGGTGCGTTTAATTTATATATGCATTAATTAAATTATGAATTTGTTTGTTTGTTGTAACTTAATGTGACTTAAGATATAAAAGAAAATTTTTTGTTTCTACATACTATTATTTTTATTTAACAGGTATATTTTTCAACAAAATGCATAAAGTATTACTTTATGTATTTTGTTAAAAAATATACCTGTTTTTTTTTTCTTTACATTTAGTGAATGATCGTCGACAACTAATATTATTAGAAGAGATCAAACAGGGCAAACAAACTATAATTTTGTTTCTGCAACAATTATTATCTCAACAGCATTGTGGCATTATAGAAACAAATGTCGACGATTTTGGACTGCCTGTTTCATTAATTGAACAGTTAAAAATAATTCAAACAGATTGTCTTGATAATGAAATGTAAGGAAAGCTTGTAAGATAATGTATTTATTGTAACCGTTTGGTTCACCAAATATTTTGGTTCAAGTTACTTTAAATTTAATACATAGTGAATTATATCTTTTAAAAGAGTTTTTTATTTTTAATTTAGACACGTTATTTGGGTCAGTGAGGTCGAACAACTGTTTCTGAATCGACAAGAAATATAATAAAGCGATCGATGAAAAATAGCAGTTGCTTGTAATTGGAAAGGAAATGGGGGGAAATATGCTTTTAGCAATAGCAAGCTTAACCAAATTATAAATAGTGCGCTTTTTTTGTGTTAAACCAGGAATCAACAATTTTTGGCTCGCGAGCCGCATGAAGTTTTTTTATCCAAACTGTGTGGCTCTTCAACCTGTCCGAGTTTTATATTTAAATGATATTGAATACCATTAAATAGTAATTCGCGCATTCATCATCCTTACGGCTCTTTAGTTAGATTTTTTTAAAATCATTTTAATAAAAATGACCATCAACTTGAAACATATTGCCGACCCCTGTGTTAAAAGATCATTACTTATTCTTACTGTAGATATATTCTTACCGTTATTGATACTTTTATTATAAAAATTAATAACTAAAATACAGTTATTTATACTTTTATTCTAAATATCTTTAACAATTTTTTATTATAAATATCTTTAACAATTCGCTTAAAATAGGTATAATAAAAAATGACGTGTCTGATCACTTCCCTATTTACTTTTCTCTAAAACTTGTTATCGAAATAATACAACAACAAAAACAAATTTTCCTCAAACGCTTTTTCAATGAATCAATTATCGAATCATTTAACGACCAACTATCCCTACTTAGCTGGAAAAATATCGACTCTACATTAGAAGCAAACGTAGTCTATAACACATTCTACGAAACATTTTATGATATCTATGACGCAAATTTCCCGAAAATCAAAATAATTAAATCAAATAAAAGCCTTAAACCACCGTGGATCAATAAAGACCTCAGAAAGTACACAAAATTAAGCAAAAGGTTTATATAAAATACTTAAAAACCAAAACAATTAGAAACAAAACAAAAAACAAAAATTATACTAAACAATTTGAAAATAATAAAAAAAGTGCAAAAAAAAAAAATACTATTTCAATTTGCTATAGAAACATAAACTCAATTCAAAACGCACTTGGCAATTTATAAGTGAAATCACGGGCAAACAATACTTAAAATTGTGTTCTCTACCTAAAGCAATAAAAATTAATGATAAAATAATAGATGATCCTAAAGAAATAGCTAATAAACTAAATAAACTCTTTGTTTCTGTTGGACCTAATCTTTCAAAAAACGTTCCAAATATGATAAATCCAATCAATAATTATGAATTTTATTTGATCGAATTTTTAATCATCTCTCTGAAAATAATACACTTTACAACAATCAGTACGGTTTCAAAAAAAATAACTCTACAGAACACGCAGTACTTCAACTCACAAGAATTATTACTGATTTCTTCGAAAAACCACAATTTACTTTAGGTATTTTTATAGACCTATCTAAAGCTTTTGATACTATTGATCACGGCATTCTATTAAATAAATTAGAACGTTACGGTATCACTGGTAAAGTCTTAATGTTATTAAAAAGTTACTTAAATAATCTTAAACAATTCATGCATATTGATACACACTCAACAACTACTGCTTTAGATATATCCTGTGGAGTCCCCCAGGGTTCCATACTTGGACCACTGTTGTTTCTAATTTATGTTAATGACCTCTATAAAACTTCTAATTTAATGACAATAATGTATGCTGACGATATTAATCTTTTCTTATCCCGAAATGACACCAATAACTTATTTAATGACATGAATGTAGAACTAAAGAAAATATTTGACTGGTTAAAATCAAATAAGCTTTCACTTAATATTGAAAAAACTAAATGGATTCTTTTTCATTCAGCTTATAAAAAGCATATACTACCAAGTGAAATGCCGCCGCTTTTCATTGATAAAATTAATATAAAAAGATTAACTTATACTAAACTTTTAGCTATTGTTGTGGATGAAAATCTTTCATGGAAAAACCACATTGAAAATCTAAGTAATAAAATTGCAAAAAGTATTGGGATTCTATATAAAACAAGAAGCATTTTAAATAAACATACTTTAATTCAACTATATTACTCATTAATTCACTGCCATATTAACTATGCTAATATTGCCTAGGGTAGTACCAACAAAATTCAGTTAAAGCCTTTGCTTTGTTAACAGAAGCATGTGGCACGTCTTATTAATTTTAAACATCGTTTTACTCGTGCCAGGCCTTTATTATTAAACATGAATGTTCTTAATATTTACGAAGCAAATATATTTAACGTTCTTTGTTTTATGTTTAAATGCAAAACTAATGCTTGCCATGTTTCTTTTTATAAGTTATATTCAATGAAAAAAAAAAAATATATATATATATATATATGTATATTAATTTTTCAATCAAATATAGGCAAATCTTGCATTCAATACCGTGGAGCCTTTTTATGGAACAAAATAGTTTTAAAACACTTTGATTTTTAGCATAACTGGAATTATTTTTCTTTTAAAAGAAAACTAAAAGTAGTAATTTTTTCAATTGATGACATATTTTTATATTTTTAAATTATTACCTATTCCACAAAATAATTAAGGAATTGTAATCTGAACGACAATATTTTTTAGATTACATATTATATATTGACATTACATTTATACTGATGAAAACTGATATAATTTTTCGAGCTTTTGTTTACTTTTTTTGTTTGTTTGTTTGTTTTTTCATAATATTAAATATTGAGAAATGTTATACATATATTCACATATATTATAAAATATTGTTAAAACTTGCTTAACATCTAAAGAGTATTATATTATATAAACGCATTTAAAAATTGTTTTAAATATTTGTAAATTTATTTATGTATTTTAACTCTTAATATAGATTGTTAAAGGGCTTCATGATAAGATCGTGTGATCTTCTGGAAGTCCTACCAGTAATATATTCAATGTAAATTTACCTTGTACATATTATTCTGGAAAAAAAGTATGACAAAAAAAAAATAATAATAATATTAATTTTTATTTCTTTTTTAGATTACAAGATTAAAAGTTGTTTAAAAAACTAAATTAAATGAATGTGAAATGAAAGTAAATCAGTTTATTGTCACCTAACCAATATTTGATTTTATTTAGATGGTGTTCGACGTAATCCGTCAACATGCCGTGGCATGCATGCCGATGTAGCAAGTGCAGTTAAAGCATTGCTTTGCTTTGCAAGAGATCGTGATGGAGCAAGGAGGAGAAGAGAAGCAGCGTTTTAAAATGTTTAAACATTATAATTTCAATAATAAATGATTATTTTACAAGAAACTCAAAAATTTATCAAGACTTTACTAATTAAAAACATAGCGCCAATCTGTAAAACCTATTATGATACCAACGTTAGCTTTATGAGTATCAAATCATCCCAGCCTACACACTATATTACGCCAACGTTGAAAAAAGATAAAATGCACAATTGCATTGTTTGCTTGATGATCAGGCATTTTAGCGCCTACAATCTTTTACAAACGTTGCGCAAATGTAAGACAAAATAAGTAAAAAATCATTAAAATGCGTCGCGAACTGTCCCTAACTAACCGACTTTGTTAGAAAAAAGTTAGCCCAACGTTGAAACAACGTTTGGAGCGTTGTTTTGATGTTGGGCTAAGGTGTTTTCAACAAAGTGTTTTAGCTTGAAAGCACTTGGTTTGGCTAACGTTACGCCTACAATATAACGGCCAACATTTTGTTAAAAACGTTGAGTAAAACAATGCCAACATAATCTCAGTGGACAACCGATCATATGCCATCACAACATCAACCTAAATATTTTGTTTGGCCAACTTTGCCTCAGCAAACTTACACCAACGGTGCGCCAATGTAATGTCAACGTAGTATAAAATTCATTATGCCTATGTGTCGCCAACTGTAGCAATTTGTTTAGACTAACGTTTTGCTAACAATTCAAAACCAAGAGTAGGCCAACGTTTTGCCAACAACGCTGAGAATATACGATGTTAACGTTAGGCGTATGCCGACACGACGCCAATCTACGGCCAACCAAAGCACTTCGGTGGGCCAACAATCGAAAATACGTTGGGCTAACGTTGGGCCTACTAAATTTTGCTGCTCGGGGTGCTGCTTCTCTTCATGGATTTGTAATTGTTGATTACTGTAAAGAACAAATCCATAAATTTAGTATTCAAAACATTTTCCATTAAGCAAAGAAAACCATCATAGTCAATTAATCAATCTTTACAGTCAATTATTCTTTTATGTAACATTAAAATGTTCAATCTAAAATCAAAAAATTGAGACAATAATGGTATGATAAAAAGTCTAATGAAAACAATCTCTTTTTCCTAGGTTTCTTTATTTTTTCAATTTTCCAATTTTTGCTATTGAAGAACTTATTAGATATATGACAATAAAAAGAAAACTAAAAAAAGAGACCATGATGATTGGACAAGAATTACTCTCAAAGTTGGACAAGAATTACCCCCTGAGTTGGACAAGAATTACCCACTGCAGCAATTTTTGACTAATATTACTTATAATTGATGGCGCATTTTACATTTTTTAAAAAATATTTTCCAGAAGAAGTTTCAAAGAGAAAACATATTAGGTACGTTTTTATTATCCATTAGCATTATGACCAAAACAATCTTTTCTTTAATAAAAAAAGTTGTTGAAATTTTTTGACGGCTGAATGAATTGTGTATCAAGAGGTCAAAATACATAAGTTGTCACAAAACGACAATTCTTTGGTAATACTTGGAGTTAATAGAAAATTTAAAAACATCTAAAAGCGAAATTGTAAGAAAAAACTCAATAATTATCAACGTTTACGTAGATTTAGTATGATAACTATTGAAGAGAAGAAAAAGTTGATATTTCCTGTAGAGAAAGGTAAAGAGCAGATTAGATTTTAGGTACATCGTGAAGTAATATTTCATCTTTTTTATGATTTTGGCACGGTTTGCCCAGTTGCAGCACCATGCAAAAATCATTAATTATTCAAAGTTTTTTTCATTCAATGTAGTTTTTCGTTCCCTTTTGTTCTTTTTTGTTCTTTTCTTAAACGAAAATAATATTTCCATAAACAATATTATAAATTTAACAGACAAGAAATAAAAGCAAAAAAAAATCAGACTCTTGCATCAAGAGCATTCATCTTAAAATCAACACCGATCTCAAGATCATTTTTTCTAGTCCTCGGTGTTCTTGAAACTCTTAAACAAAGGATAGTTGAGCAAAGTATCTCGAAAGATAACTTTGTTCTTAACCACATCATAACAATTAAGCATTTTTCGTTTTGTTTTTCCGATAGTTTCTCGACTAGTCTTCTAACAAACTTATGACATTCTTTACTCATACTTCCATTTGTACCAAACACTAGCGGTGTCAAACTGCCATGTTCGACTTCACGAATTCGTTCGCCATATTCTCCTTTTTTAACCTTTTCGTGTTTTTTGAATATTGCTGTACCCAGATTTTTGTTGCTCATGGAATTGACACGCGTAACTCTTACGTCAAAAAATGGTGTCTGTCCATTTCGACAAAAACCATTTGCTTTAATATCCAAACGAGCTTGGTTATTTTTATTTGCTGTATGGAAATAAAAATTCTCATTATTAAGGGGTATGAGGTGTGGTTCAGATTGAACATTTATGCACACTCTTTTAAGCAATGTAGTGAACAAATTTCTTATGTTATCATGGCGACTTGAAATGAAGCCATCTTTCTTACACGACAAAACATGAGTTACATTGAAAAGTTCTCCGTATTCACAACTACGAGGGATAAGTCGAAATTATATCTTAACCAAGTGCATCTCAAAATTCTTATTTGTTTAAAACAAAACCTTGGTTTTCTAGCGGTAAGGCGTTTAACCAAGTGCTTGCACATTCATTTCTTGTTTGCTGTATGTTTTTTAACATAGACTCTGGTTGCATTATATCAACTGCGATTATTTTCTCGGTGTGATGCTTAAGTATGTCACTAGATGATATTTTTACAAGATCTTCCAGAATATTTCCGGTAGAGTTTTTTGTTTTTAAAATTGTGTCCTGGTCTATAATTTGCTGTACAGGATTTTTAGTTAATTTCACAGATGATAAAAACTGGTAAGACGCTTCTTCAATTAGTATAGGTAAATCCGATCCTTCATCTCAAGGAGTTAATGTAAAAATTTTTCTAATGTGATCCTCAAAGGGCGTGTCATTTCCAAAAAGAGTTGGCAACAACAAATGACTAAGTATTTCATCTACAGGCCCTAGATATTGGATAAATTTTGAAATAGTTCTTAGAAAATAAGTAAATTTTGAATCTAAATCCTTTTGTGAACGCAATAAAAGCGGCCTGTGATTACGTCTCTGCTACTTTACAAAGTTATTTTAACTCGCTTAGCCATTTTGCTTCTTTCTCATTGCAATATTTTTCATTGAAATTTTGCGAACCAATTACTGAACCCAAATGTCGTTGACCCTCTGTAGTTATGTTGATCAATTTACCAAGTATTATGCCTGCATACTCTGGTAATAACGGGGATTTTAATATTAACCAGCATTTAAATTGGTTTACGTAGTAGTCATGTTTACATCCTTCATCAATAAAGTGTTGATACCAGCTATGTAAGTTTGCTATGGTTCCACTAACTGCGGCATCGTCTGCTAACAACATCTGCTTAACTTGTGAGTAATTTACAAGTAAGTGTTCTATAATAATCGTGGTGTTACAAGAGTACCATGGCATAGCAAGGGGATTAATGGACAAATGATCTGAATGTTGTGTAAGGCAACTTGTCGATTCGTACAATTAAAAGCATTCTTTGCGTCAATCAAAAGTATTGCATCTGTTTGCGCATTGTCGAATATATCCTTCATGACATGTAGAGCAGCTTCGGCTCCTGCTTTATGTCTAGCGCATGTTTGTAATGGCCAAACTAAAGAAAAAATACTTAAAGTTTTTCCAAAAATTTTGAAATCCGATATATGTTAACTCTGTAAAGATGTAAAGTCAAGAAGAGTTATTTCCATGCTCTTTATTACTTACAACTCATCGATACCGAATAGATGTTGAACACCATCTCAAAACTTCGAGTAAAAGAAAATATGTAAAATAAAAAAGTATGTCATTTATGCATAAATAAATACTTCCGTGTGTACTATGTACTACAAACGTAATATACTTTTTGTTAATGGTTCCGTGACTTAAATACATAGACGAGCAAATATATAAGATGTGTTGTAAAATCTTAAACTAAAAAACTGAATGTGTTTTTAACTTTATTATCAATCTATTATCAAACATTTATTCATAACAAAATTTATCTGAATCTTAAAAATTTGTATTGTTTAGTGTTTCTATTTTTTAGTATTTCAATAATATTCATTACAAATTTGTTGAAAAGCATAGTTAATTTCAACATCACGATTACATCAAAGAAAAATATTTCTTTTTTAAAAATATGCTAAAAAAACCAAACTAAAAAGAATATTGCCGTAAATCTTTTGTGTTACTAAAAACAGTTTAACTTATTGGATAAAGCATAAGGAAGACATTAGCACCAAGTACGAACCCGGTCAATTTGGAGCAAAGAGATCCAATCTAAGAGCTGGAAAATATGATTTCCTTGGTAAAGCTGTATGTAAATGGTTTATAAACGCATCAGGACATTAAAATATTTTTATTGCACAAATAATGTTGCTAGGCGTCAGATTGATTACATTGATGCTTGTAAAGCAACCCTAAAGATAAGGTCCAAAGTCACGGAACCAAGTCACGGAACCTGGTCAACATGTGACCTATCTTGCAAACACTGTAAAAAGTTATTTTTTAAAGACAGTCATTTTGCAAAACACAGATTGCAATTGTAAGTAATAAATATGATCCTTTTAAATTGCTAAAAGAGAGCGCCGATGGGCTTAGATCTTTGTTTTAGTAGATGGAAGCCTTGTTGTTTTTGACTACGTAAACATATATGATAAGGTTTATACAACTTTTGTCGTAAAAACGTTATCATATATGTCTATGTAGATCTACATAAACATATTACATTACGTAGATATATCTACGTAATGTAATATGTTGTATATAAACCTTATCATATATGTTTACGTAGTCATGTATCTAAGTAATGTATGTTTATGTGTATACACATAAACATACATTACTTTGAAACATTATGATCTGTGATAGCACTTTTACAAGTAAAGCAAGTGCTATCGCAGATCAAAAGATTTAATTTTAATCAACTATTGTGTTTTGGAAGAAAAGGTGACAAACGAAGAGTAAAAAAAAAAAAAAAGCTTAGCCTCTCAAAAATCTTAATTATAAGTGGTTGCACGTGCAATAGAGTTACTTAAGCAATAGTCTTTTTTAAAAACTTTAGCGGCAAATCAGACAACTACTGAGCTTCGTATCAAAAAGGTTGATAAACACTCTTTAGAAACAAAAATTAATCAAAATTGGACGTTTTATTTGGAAAACTGTTAAAATTTTGAAATTTTACAAGTAAAATATTTACGCACCAAATTATTCCAAATGTCTATATTTTTTTATACCCAGTTTATGTGAAAAAATAATTTTTATTTGAGTATAGTGGGTTTTTTATTTATTTTAAATTTCGTTTACTCAAAGTAAATTACTCCATATTATTATATTCATCTAGGAGGTTTTAATGTTACGGTAGTTTCATACGTTTTTTCTCAACTTTGTTATTCTCAAAACAATTTTATTCTTAAAACATGTATTAAAAAGAAATATTTTTCTAAGACAATATTTTTATATTTTTCCCTGAGTAATTATTTATTAGTACACAAATAAGCAAATTAGTTTTTTTACTTTATATTTGAACATAAAGTATTGATTTGGATAGTATTTTTATTTTTTAAGTTCTTTTTCATTCTACAAAACTATTTCGCTGGCCATTACTTTGAATGATTCTAAAGTTTCTTCTGCTGTTGGAATTATTTGTGAAGCCGGAAGAATAAAGCCGTATTGACCTTTATCTCTAAGTTCAAGGCCGTACGAATATTTTAATCCCAATGCTCCGTATGCCCAGTCATCGCTTGCCCCACTTGTTGGATCTAAAATGTGAAATTTTTTTTTTAAATTAATTTTGCTTTCCTATCTTATAATACGAATATAAGTTGTTTTGATTTTTTTTTTAAATAACTTTTTATGATGATGACTTAATTTTAGCAATAAAATAAAAGCATTAAAATTGCATACATATAATGACAGAAGATGGTCCAACTTTGAAAACTGTTCCGTGCTTGTTATATAAAGCCTTAGCAGCAGCTGAAGCAACTCTCATCTATGGGTTTAAATAAACAAAAAATATACTTTTAAAAGAAAGTACATTATTAACATTTATATTATATATATTATACTATATAAAATTCAAAACAAAAAGTGAGGGAAAGGAGGGGGTTGAGTTGGAGGATGCCATGTGTAAATATTACTCATAAAACTGTACGCATAACTTGGTAGAAAAAAAAGTTATAAATCGTGATGCTACGTATCAACTGCGAAAAAAAACAACATTTTAAATTTTAAAGATATTTTATAATATTTAATTTACCTGTTCTTTATAATCTTTTGGTAACTCTGTGGTGTAACCCCATGGTGTCATCCAAAGTTGACTGTATGCGTGAATATCTAAAAAATAAAATATTAAACAAATTTAGCATATAGTTTGCTATATTTTACTATTTTAGCTACTGCATTCAAAAGAAAAGTATGGAAACGACAAATCCTTTTCCCCCTCTCTTCCTAATATCTAATTTGTACTGATTTATCAAAAATATACATTTTTATATGCATGTTTTAAACATTTTAAAATTCGGCCGCATACCGAAACCGGAAAGTTAACTTTTTTTAGATATTTAAATCTACGGGCGAATAATTTGATTACAAAATCTACAGTGGGGTATTTTAATAAGTCAATTATTAAAAAACATTGCCACGGTTAACATTCTAAAATGACAAGTTTTATTTGGAAGTTTTTTAAATTAAACTATTCTTCTTAATCGACAGCAGTTTCTATTCTATGTGGAAACTAGATACGTAAGTAAACCAGATAAATCTTGTAATTCTTGCTAAAAATTGTTTTCCACAACTCCACTGCACAATCGCGTCAAAAGGTTGAATAAAAAAGAAAGAAAAAATAAAATTGAAAAAGGTTAACACTTGTGTTCAAGGTTTACTGTGCACCTTCAAGACTGCTGTAATACTTGTGTAACTTTAAGAGTGCAGCATTATCCGGCATTAAAACCAAGTTATTTTAATATCCAGCCGGATATAGGATATTGGATGATATAAAAATCTGGGACACCCTTAGTTGTTTCGCGCCTTTTCTTAACTAATTTACGCAATCAATATTTAAATTTTTAGTAAGGATCAAAGCGTTGGTTAGCTTTAGTCGGATTCGATCCGCAATTTTGCAGGCTATTCTACTAGTATACCTATAATTATTAAAAAGATATCTATAAATGATACCGATAAAGCCAGATAAAGTGTTTCTATTGTTTCGAAGATATTGAGCAATATTAAAAACACATTTCTCAGACCAAGGTTTGGAGCCAGGATATATGTCTGAGCATGGGTCATTTGATGTTCCAACTCCTAAAAAAGTAATAAACATAACAAAATACTGGTAACAAAATTTTAACAATACTATATAAATTTTAACATACTTCCCCATTGGAAATCAAAATTACGATTAGGATCTGCACCAGTGCACTGATAATTTGTTGGTTTTCTAGTTTTTCTCCACAACCTAGTGCTAGCATCTTTCCATGAGTAAACATATCCATCAACATTAGCAACAGGTAAAATTACCCAATCCATTTTGTTAAGCATGGCAGCTATGTTTGCATCTTTTTTATAGCCGTTCAACATCTATTAATAGATTATAATTTAAGATAATAAAAACAAGTTCTTTTTTTATCCTTGAAAAATAAGAGTACTATAAATATCTATGAAAAAAAATATCGAAAAAAAGCAGTTCAAGTCTATATTATATTGGGAAATTAGATATATTGCAAATTTATTAATGGTGAAACTCGTTTACAACAAAATTAAAAGTGAATTTTAAAATTGTTGATAGCAGAGTAGTGGAATTGCTAGTTTGTTAAAACAGCAGTGGAAAGAGAGGTTATTAACAAAACCATAAAACACATACTTTTGTAAACTAAATTACCGTCATTTATTTTCATAATAATTTTGAAAAAATTAATGCATGTTTATTTTTGATTATATATGAAATGTAATAAAAATCTTTGATGTCAAACTATTTATAAATTAAAAATTTAATATTTATTTTTACGCGTTTTTAATTGAGTCTTAAATCCATAAACTATTAACTATAAGATCTTATTGCTTGCATTTCAAACATGGTCCAAACTTTTAATTTGATTATATTTAAGCTTGTGCTAAATGAAAGTAGTTTTCTATGTTAGAAACTTCGGAACAAAATAACATAAAACTTGTGCCTTCAAACCATAAATGTGAGGGGAAAAAATTGCTTAGATTTATATTTTTACAATTCTATATTGAACTACGTATTTACAAATTTTCATTTAAAAATATTGTGTTGATTAAAAAATATGACCATACAGAGTTTACAATCTCAGCAGCGGTATTTGAAGGAGAGAGGACAGAGGTTAAAAAATTATTATGCAATAAAGTTTAAGACTCACAAAACTAATTTTCCTTAATAAAAAAACTTGAAACAATTTTGTTGAGTAAAACTGATGTAGTTTTTGAGGAAGTTAAATTTTTTTTTATAAATTTTTTTAGGTCTTATTTATCCTTTTATATACTTCTTTTTATATAAAATTGTTACAAAGGTTAAATAAATAAAAAAAACGGTGCTGATGACTTTGAAGTTAACTTAAAAGTTGTTATTAGCATTTTTCTTCATTAAAGCAATTTAAAACTTAAACTTTTGGCTAGAGGGAGGGGGAGGGGGATAAGTAAACCTTGGTTAAACTTTAAAACTATACCACTGTGTAAGAATGTAACCCCTTTTATTGAGTTCTCTATTGGTGAAGGTTTTAAAGTTGTAAGTTAGTTTAAATATTGCAATTCTATTTATAAACCGCAGTTAATATTTATCTCCTTTGTTAAAACTAACACAAAAATATCAACAATGCTTTTCACAATAACAGCTAAAACAACAACATCTTTATCTCAGTTTCTATATAATGTATAATCATTACCTCTTTAATCATATATATACAAGTTGCAGTTGTTACCCATTCTCTTGCATGTAGACCACACATGAAGAAAAATGTTTTTCGATTAGGACTTTGTTTCACAGCAATCTATGAGAAATAAAGTGAAATATAACATGAAATATGTTTGTAACCAACATAAATAAAAAGACTTTTTTAAACTGAATAAACATATATAAAATAATATATAGAATATCTTTTTCTTGTATTTTTGTGCATTGGTATTTGCTCTTTAGGAAGGTTATTAGTATATATATTGTGACATGTGCTCTTTAGGGAGGACATGGGAATTCGCTGCATGAAAAAATAGAGTTTGAAACCGAGGAAACAAAAAAGTTTTGCATTTCAGTATATCGAACCTCCAAAAGAAATCTTTTTCAATCGTTTCTGCTCCAAAGTTTAGAACCAGCTTCAGTGTTAAATAAATAAGTTGCTTAGCTACCAGAGGGTGTGATTTTTTATTAAGGAACTTTAAGTATATTGATTTAACTCAAAACTATCTCCATAGAAACCAAGGAAATCTTATGAAATTCACCCTAAAAATGAAAATGACAAATGACAGATAGACAAATGAGAATTTTCAAACTCTCAACTAAAGCCAAAGATAAACTAATACGGTAGGGTAAAAACTAGTAGGATAGAGCAATGTTGGTCTGTTGGAATGTTAGAGCAATGTTGGTCTGTTGGAATGTTAGACCAATGTTGGTCTGTTGGAATGTTAGAGCAATGTTGGTCTGTTGGAATGTTAGACCAATGTTGGTCTGTTGGAATGTTAGAGCAATGTTGGTCTGTTGGAATGTTAGAGCAATGTTGGTCTGTTGAAATGTTAGACCAATGTTGGTCTGTTCGAATGTTAGACCAATTTTGGTCTTTTCGAATGTTAGACCAATGTTGGTCTGTTGATATTGATCAGCTTTTTGATTAATATTTTTAAATGAAAAGTTTTTTTTTCCTGTGTGCTTATTTTTTCTGTGTGTTAAAACGACTCTTTTTGCTTTTTTTTTTAATCTGTGTTATAATACAGAATATTTAACATGTTTAACAAGAAGCTTTTAAAATGCATACATTTTAAAATACCATTCCGATATAAGTTATAAAATTCAAAAGTATAATGAAAATTAATAATTTTTATTGCTAATAAAATGTAAGAAATTGTTGGTTATATTAATGTTATTTTTCATCGAAATCACGACTTTGTAATAACGTTGGTTATACTAACACTATTTTTCATCGGAATTACAACGTTGTAGTAACTTTACGGTTACTACAACGTTGCATTTACGGTTTTTTTTATCAGTATAACAACCTTGTAATTTCGTTGGCTATAAATGTTATTTTTAATCGGGGTTATAATGTTTTAATAACGTTGGTTACACTTTTTATTAAAGTTCCTATTTTTTTAACCTAGAGTTTTGCCTATAGTTCTACAAAGTAAATATTTATGCGATCAATAATAGATATAAAATTTAAATTTAAATCATTCGCATTCTTTCTTTTTTGTTATATATTTTAAATTGACAAGGTTTTGCTCGAGGGAAAAAATTTCATAATAGCTAGAGTGAAAAGGTTTTTAACCTAACCAATACATTTGTAAATAAATATAGAATAAATGTATTTGTAATATTGTATATATTTGCATATAATTATAGAATAAATATAGAACCAATATAGAATAAATATAGAACCAATATAGAATAAATATAGAAAAAAAAAAATTAATAAAAATGATAATTAACGATTTTAACTTACCAGCAAAAAACAAAAGTTTATTTAGTTAAAAATTATATAAAGGTGAATGTTATTACTACAAAATATAACTATACATTTGTAAATATTTCCATAATCAGTAAAATTGTGTGGTGTAGTGGAAAGCTTAATGTTTTTTGAAGTATGTGGTCGGGTTTCGTTGTGCTTTTCGATGTAACGGCCAAAATTTGGCCGTTACATCGAAAGCACAACGTCGGTCGATGTTGTAAAATCTGATGTCGCCCATTTATTCCATTTCCAACGTGAACTCGACGTTAATCTAACTTAAATAACGAATTTTTTCTAACGTTGGTGTGCCTACTGGGTATATAAGATGGGTACTATTATATCAAGTATGTATACTTTTTCTTTAAGAGTATTTATACTTAAAAATAATAATAATTAAGAATTAAAATTATGAATATTTAAAAAAAAGATTCCGCTAAAAATATTAGGCCGAGTGAATAAAAAGAGCAACTGCTTCAACTCAGTTATTGGTCAGTTTTAAGTGGATAAAAACTTCAGCAATTTTGATCAATTTTTTATTCACGTAAAGCTGAGCAATTACTCAGCGTCTTTGGAGTAAATTGCTTAACTTTGCAAAATATAATATAATATAAATATGAATTTAATAATACTTTAACGGCAAGCATATCTCTATTTTCATAGGTTTTTCCAAGGTTGATAATTGATGCAATTGTTGAGAAACTCTTTACCAAGCTTTTCATTTCATCGACAATCTGAAGATAAAAACCAATTGTTAGTTTTACAATTTAGTTAATAAAAAAACTCTCTTATAAACATTTTATTCTACCTCAAAATAGTTATGATATCTTGAATAATCAAATCCTGTAACTTGGTTAAACTGATAGTTAGAGCTTTTCTCGTTTTCATGACGTATCAATTCATCCAAATTATGCTCACTCACTACGTACTCCATTCGATTTTTTTTCAGAAACGTCTCTATGGTTTTTAGATCTTTTTTTTTAATGAAGCCTTTTACCGTATAGTGATCAGCATTTTTATCAACACTCCAGAAATCAATCTAAACTCATAACAAATACAACATCGCTAATTACAGGCTTGTTTAAATGAAGTAATATAAATAACAATAGATCATAGTTAACTTTATTGAGTGAATTTGATTTAATTTAATTACAGTTTAATGTATTTTTTTATTATATATCATTAAACAGTTTACCGAAACATTTAAGGTTGACTCTAAAGCTAAAGCTCTATCAAGTTGTTTTTTGTTCGATAGTTTCATGGATAATATTTGATAGCTGCAAAAAAAATAGAGAATATCAGAATATTAGATTTTAATTTAATGGGTTTAAAGTGATTACATCATTACATCATTACATGATCCAAAGTGTTGATTAAATTATTTTTTAAAGTTTTTTTGAAGAAGTTGACAAAAAAAAAAACAATTCTTTACTTGTACAGTATTGTACAAGAAAAACTTTGTTCAGATCGGAAGCAATCACTTTTCAGCATACTAGTTTTCAATAATTTAAACCAGTTCAAGTACAACTTAAAATATAATAAATTAAAGAAATAATTCAAGTTAAAAAAACTTTGTGCAAACAAATTTAATATTTCACAAGTGAATATTATGGGAGAGTTTTTTATCTTGAGACAAATTTATCTTGAAAAAAAGTGAACTGCTATGCTTTCTGTGAGTATCCGTAAAAACTTATCTGTTAAAATTCTTCAACTGGCCAATAGGGATATGTAGAGTGACTGACAACCATTCAGTGAGATTTTTTGGATGCTGAACGATTAAAGAAAAATCTGTCATTCTGTATTTTTGTTGTTTCATTGTTTTAAGCTTCTATTTTTGTTTGTTTTTTAATCTGCGTTAAAAATTAGGACATTGAAATAAACTTTAAAACCTTTTTAATGGCATGTTTGATCAATTTTTTTTAACTAACTTCAAACACAGCAATGTTTTCCATTTTTGTAATGTGTTGTAACTTGGTACAAAATCACCCTTAGGACATCCCAAGGTACAACAACATCCATTATTTTTGATAACATATATTTTAAAAACTTACCTAATTAAAAAGTCGTGGTTGCTGTATTTTATGTTAATGCATTTATTTTATTGTCATTTAATATAAAATATTAACAACAATCTTTACTAGCAACCTAATAATTTGCATTTATTTGAAAAAAACATTTTTACTGAAGACAAGTTTTTTTTGTTCTGTGTAAAAAAATTGTTAACAAAAATGATATAACGTTAATGCAAATGTAGCCCAGCCAGATGTGAAATACAAATTTCTTCGTTATTCAACATCTGAAGGAAATTGTAATAGCAATAAACATTTAGATTCTGGAAATGGTTTTTTTATTTTTTAAAGCTGCGTTCAAAAAAAAATCAAGGGTAGACAGTCTGAAAAAAACAGAATACAGATACACCAGACAAAAATAATAATAATAAAAGTAAAAGACGATACGCTGTTGATAAAAAATTCTTTTCTAGTAAAAAAAAATTGCGAAACTAATTGCACCAAGAAAAACCAGCAACTAAAACTGTAAATGCCATTAGTGCAGGAGATAAGTCTTAGAGGATAAGGCCGACGATACGGGGGAAGGAGGGGAGCGGGGACAGAGTGTGTGTTTTCCTCCACTTTTTTCCTAAGGATCTTTTTTATATATAGAGGACTCTTTTTAGAAACTGACGATTATTGTGCCCCTGCACTTCAAAAGCCGTGTCGTCGGCTATAGAGGATAACAATGACTGTGGTGAAATTAAGCCAAACGATTTTATATATATATATATATATATATATATATATATATATATATATATATATATATATATATATATATATATATATATATATTTACATATGAAATATGTAATAGCTACTTCTTATACCTACTTAATCGAGCATGTTTTTAAGGGTTCCATTAATTTATCTTCAAGTCAAATATCCTGTATTCGTAGCTGTATTGTTCATATTATAACTCTTTTCAAATAAAAAAGATAAAAAACTTTAAAAAGACGGAGTTTCAAACGGTTACTTGTGAAATCTGTGTATCTACAACACCTTGCATGGGTACGTTGTAAATGAGGTGCAAATCGCATAAATGTTATAAATACGATAACATAAATTGAATAGAGTTTAAAGCATTTTTGTATAAGTTAAGTTACTCAACGAATTGGTAGGACAAATTCATATTTTTTTAAGAGATTTTTCATAATTTCACGTAAGGTTTTTGTGGTAACTATTTAAAAAATATTTTATGGTATGAACTAAAATAAGGGCTTTAAATATAATAATATAAATGCATACGCAATGCTGAATGATGAAGAAAATAAGAAACGGCAAACTGTTTGGTTTTGAAAGACAAATGAAACAAATGATAAAACATTATTGTCAACTCAAGATTTCTGAAGTAACAGTAGATACAGAAAAATTATTATTAGTAGTGACAATATCAGCAATAATAAAACTACAGTCAGAACCATTTGAAGTTAAACTAATATCTAATAAAAATGCAGAGGTAGTGGTAGTTGCATGCCGAGGCGGTTCAACAAATAAAATGAGGGGGAGGGGGAGAGTCCTTAAAAAGTACCCGACTGGCTCCTTAAAAAAGAAAATTCCCTAAAACTAAAATTTACCCAACTGAATTGTGTTAAATACCCGACTACTCGACTATATTCGTCAAAAAACTGACTATAACTTGAAAATCACCTTATTGGGATAATGGGAGGTGGGTCATAGCCCCCTCCCCCCCCCACACATACACACACACCCTTCTCTTAAACCACCTCTGGTTGCATGGCTAGCAAGAGATGTATGATATGACAACAGTTCTTGCATAAAAAGAAGTACAATTTTTATCTTGTCTATTCAATCTTTTCTTTAGTTGTTTAAGGTGCTTCCAGATAATTTCCGTTTTTAAGACATATCACTTTAGTAAATCATAGAAAATACTTATATACAAAGTTGCTACAATTATAACTAAGTTTTTTTTAATTCACTTTAAAACTAAGAAATGTCTTTAAATAAGTTTAAATAATCCAAATACGAACGTTTTTAGAACAAGATTTTTTCAAGCTTGAAAGCAACTCAAAATAAACCTTTGGTTTATTTCATGTTGCTTTCAAAGTTGAAACAAAAAAAGAAATAAAACAAAGAAACAAAAACGGAAAATATAAACCAATTAAAATAAAAAATTGTCTTTTATAAACACGAGTTCAATGCAGAGTTGTTAACAAGGTCAAAAAGAGCAAGGCAAAGGCCACACGTTACAAGACCAAGGCCAAAAGTTACAAGGCTAAAGACAAGGCCAAGAGTTTAAGGGTTAAGGCCAAGAATTAGAGTTTCAAGGCCAAGGCTTATACAAACATTTTCAAGACCAAAGAATTCAATTTTTGCCTTACGTTCAGGCCAATTATTAACAAAACTATAAGTAGCAAGTGCTATGACAATAAAACCATTTTTTGTATAAATAGACCAAGGTTATGCGCAGAATTCAACGAAATTAAAAAGAAAATATGTATTTTTTTCAAGGCCAAGGCCAAAGCAATCAAGGCCAAGGCTAAAGTTTTTAAGGTCAAGTACATGTTAAAGGCCAAAAGTTTCAAGGCTAAGGCCTCAATATTTGACCTTAAGGCAAGGCCAAGGCCAAGGACTAACAGCTTTATTCCAATGCAATGTTTTAATCACTTCAATAAAGTTTTATTTATAGAAATGATACTATCTTTTACTATAAATAAGTAAATAATCCATTATCTCAATATTTTTCGTAGAAACTATTGTTGATAGTGTAGAATCGATGCGTTTACAACTTTTTGCATCATTTTTATTTTTATCATTAGTTTAATTGCGAAATATTTTTCTATAGACATTTAAAAAACAAAATTTTTATAAATATTTTAAAATTCTTTATAATTATATTTATATAGCCATAAGAAATGAAAGCAGTGCACAGCACTACGATTCATTTGGGAAATGAATAGATTTAAAGAAAATATTTAGTACATCTCAAACTATTGATTGTCTTACTGAAAAAATGTACCTTACTGAAGTAAATCGTTGGGACTTTAGGAAAATTATTAAAATAATTTTGATGATGGCTTCTGAAAATATGGCGTTCCGTGGATCAGCAGACCAAATTTTTTCAGAAAGTAATGAAAGTTCTTAAAAATTGTAGAACTACTTTTAAAGTTTGATCCAGTGATAGAAAAACATTGTCTTCTACTGAGTCTCAATGTAAAAAATTCTATGTTCCAAGGTACACCATATAAAACTTAAGAAACAATCTGATGTTAAACCTTGGGATACTTGGGTCGGAAATATTTCTAAAACCTTAAATTGGTTTCATAAAATTTATAGTAAATAAAATTAATCAAGAACAAGTCCAAATTAATAATGTTATACTGTAAAATGGAACAGTTTTGAGGGTTTTTATGGAACCACTGATTGAGATATAATTTTGTAACTACATTTTGTAATGTTAGTATGGCTATATACATTTTCCTTTAACAAATGAAATTAATAGCTGACCAAATTATTTTTTTGTTTGCTCTATGTCCCCACAATTGATGTGAATAGAGACACCAGTTACTTTATTTTTTTGTCTCTATTCTACCTCTGATAGGGTTATAATTAGGACACTTTTGTGTGTGAGTACCTAAGATGCACTAGTATCATTTAACACTAAACAGGATGTAGTGACGGATCATCAAGAAAATTCCACAACCCTAGCACTTATTGAAAATTCTGGAGAAGATTAGAAGAGCTCAAGGTAATATGCACTTTGCATGTAGGGTGTTTATAGAATTGCAAAAAGCTTTTGATACTGTGGATCACTCCATCTTTCTCACAAAATTAGAATACTATGGAATCATTGGCACGCCACTAAAATGGACACAATTTGTTTTTATTAATGACACTTAATCTGATTCAAAGAATTGCTCAAATGGCGTCCCAGAAAGTTCAGTTTTAGAACCACTTCATTTCTTTATTTTATTAATGACTTAAATAATTATTATCATAAAAACCTTCCCCAATCATTGAACAACTTCTTTACAAGTACAAATTGTCACTTTCCTCTTCGCTCCATCAGTAGCTTAAACTTAGTTAAAACACCACTCTGCTAAATATGGAAATAAATCCATTAAATATCGATGTTTTAGTTTATAGAACAAATTACCTCCTTATCTAATTGAATATCTGAATTTAAAATCAAGCTTTTTAATTATTTGTTAAAAAAATGCAATAAACAGTTTCTACAAATTAGTATTGAAATTTTTTATTATATCAATCAGTTCTGAAGCTTTTTTTAGTTTAATATTTTTAACATATTGAAATTCTTTATTCCATCTACATCTAATTACTCTGGATTTCAACCTGCCATTATTAATATTTACTAATGTTATAACTTATTTCAAAATATATTTGATTTAATTTGATCCAGGATTTTTCGATGTTTGAGATTTTTTGGATTTTTGGTGTTTCAGATATGGAGCAAACTCCAAACATTTGTATGTTTATTTTTTACCAAATAATGATGCTTTGAAAAAAATTGTGATGATTGGAGGCTGGGAACGAAAAAGCTTTTTAACTTCATCACCCCACCACCACAAGCGTGAGGGACAACAAGTTGATAAAATACTTTTTCTACTATTCACAACTAAACTTACATTTATTGATAACATTCAAAAATTATGACCATATAAAGTTTAAACCTTTTAAAGTTTCATATAAAGTTTAAACGTTTTAAAGTTTCACAATTACACCGTCATTACTTTTGTCTGTTTTAAAACTTTACTATGTTTGTTTTTTATTGTTACAAACTATTTGGGCCAGAGTCATACTTAATAAAAAAACAAGTTTCATTGCTTTATCAGCTGTCACTGTCACTTCGTGTATATTCAAAGTTTAACTAGTGTACCCCGGCTTTCAGGGAAGTCTCAGGTTCAGCTCCATTAAGCATAGCTTTTAAGTTGTTATGTTTTGTTTAAAATTAGTTTTTTATGTTTTTTACCGGTAGAGAAGTGTAGGGAGAAAAGGGACATAAAAAATTTCTAAAATAATTTTAAAATCTAATTTATATAATGAGCCAACTGTGCCGAACAAGATTTAATAAATAAAGCACCATTTTAGGCACTGATTCCATACTTTAAGACTGAAAACAAGTAATAATAAAGTAAATATTTTTTGATTTTTGATTGCCAAATTTCCAATATTTAGCTTCTGATTTGAATATGAAACTACTAATTTATTAGATTCAGAAATAATAAAAAAAAAATACTTAGCAAAATTGTAATTTCTTATAAATAGTCAAAGGTTTGGTAATAAATCATATAAAACGCATCTTTTATGTTATATTTTTGATATTTGTTTCTTAATAATATCTAAATAGCTCCTTAACTTAAAAAATATTTTTCTCTACTTCCAGCGGTGATAGGCAAAACTTCCACCTTCAATATCACAGCGAAAGCGAAACTGAAGGCGGAAACCTGAACATTTTGCTTCCCAAAAAGTTTCCGCAAAGTCGCCGCCAAAGGCTACTGCTTTCAACAAAGTTGGCTTTCCAGTAGTATATTTCTTTGCTACCGGCAGGCATTATCAACTTTGACCACTTGCATTATTAAATTAAAAAAAACTAAAGAAAAGAGTTTAGATTGTTATTTATTTCCATATAATATGATTGACCTGTAACAGCTAAGCTACTGGGAGGGCCACTTAAAAGTTTAAGCATATTAACAAACTTTTACTCTAAATAAATGATCTATTTTAAATAAACAAGAGCAATCTACGTTAGAGTTTTTTTTTAAATTACAGCTAATGAGCCATGACAGTAATATAGCGTTTTTAATGCCATACTTTTATCCACCGCTGTCAAGAATTTTTCTGTATTTTAATTTACTGTTTTATATAATAAATATTTTCAAAAATAAAATGTAATTGAAATCTTACTCTTCGTAGGCTTTTTCTGAAACATATCTGTTAAACCGGTTATCGACTAAAGAACAAGTCAAAATATTTCTCATAATTAAAAATTATTATTTGTTAGATTTAGAAAGTAATAACTCATAAGGTATGAATTTGCGACCAAAAAGTAAGTTTACTGTTCACGACTACGCAAACTGAAAAAAGCAACAACAACAACAACAACAACAACAGCAACAACAACAAAAAAATATATATGAACAACGCTTTTTAACAGCATAATTAACCATAATTAACCACATTAACAACGAGATATTAATTTTCATTAATTATAATAAAAAAAGTTGAACATTTAATTAAAATTAAATATACAACAGTCCAATAATAATTACTTTGCAAAAAATATAAACCAATACACCCTACCTGGCTCTAATGGTCGAGTAAATACATTGTTTCCAAATACATCTAAATAATAGTAAATACAAAATATTAATTTGATAACTCTATGAGATTATATTAGAGAAAAACTTTTAAAATATTTAGAGTAAAATTTACCAAATTTTAAAACTTGGTTTTTGTCAAAGCCAAAAAGTCAAAGAAAAAAAAACTTAAAGAACGTAGAAAGCTAATGATTGTACAAAATTGGTATAAAATACGTCAAATGTATGATTATATTATTAAGAAAACAGATTTTTATTTAATTTTAGACTATGGTGGTCTGTAACAGTTTGCTCTTTGGATAGTGATCTGTTATAGGATATTCTTTGGATAAACTCAACAATTTTTAATTATTGTAGAATTATTACAGACAATTATTGCAGAAATTGCTGCTCCTGTTGCAAGGTATTTTTTAAATTTGTTTATTATTAAATGTCCTGATACATTTTTGTACTGTGTAATAGTAGATCGCCCCTAAAATGATCCTCAGTTAATAACCTCCAATCGTAGTACTCATTTTTTTTATCTACACAATTAAAACGAAACCAACAATATCAAGCGATTAAAAAAAAAATTTTATGAGGAACTTTTTTTAAAGAAAGTCTGCGGTTTGGATTAACAGCTATAGATGGAGAATATATCTATATAAAGATGGAGAAGATATCTATATAAATAAAGATATCTATATAAATTGAACTTTTTTCTAAAACTGTTAAGCTTATCCACATATACATTACCTATAAACGTAGAATGTTTGTTACCAACGTCATAGTTTTGTACGTGAACTGTATATCAGAAAAATCGCTATTCTATCCTATAAAAACCTCATTCTTTAAAAATTATTTAAGCGCTTCATTTAACTATGCGTTTAAATACCTTAACTTATGCGTTTAAATACTGCCTTAACTTGAATATAGACGAACCTGGTGTAACTTCTCTTTATCTACAATATATTTAACTTTTTATAAAAATTAATTATTATTAACTACTTATTTGTTTTTTCTTAATTTTATATACTATTTTTTGTCATTTTATATTATTTATTTTTATTTATTAGTTAAATTTTTTTTTTTTCGCTTATTGAATAAAAGTATACGCAAACTTATATTTAAGCAGTTATTATTTTTTATTTTTTTCTTGTATTTTCTTTTTTTTTATTTTTTTATTTTTTCAGTTCTTATTTTTGGGAAATTTGACATTCTATTTAATGCCTTGGTACTAATAAAAACTACGGGTAGAAGATTTTTTCCTCACTTTTATTGTTTAATTAAATAATTTGATGTTAATCCTGAGTAAAATTCCCAATAATACACAGGTTTTTGCTTAAGAAGCGGCATTAAAAAATCAAAAACGATTTGGTTGTTTAATGGTATGAATTGTTTAAAAAATGTAACTTGAAGTTTTTGTTTATAATTACACGACTTGTTTGACAATATAAAAAATGGAAAGTTTTAAACTGGTGATTCAACTATACTTATTCTTTGCGAGGCTTCAAATAAGGAATTAATTAATTTATTAATTAGTTAGATTAATTATTATAAAGAATTAATTATTTTATTAGTTTATTAGTTAGTTTATTTGGTAATATTAATTGATTAGTTTATTAGTTAATATTTGTCAATTAGAGCAGCCATGGCGCAGTGGTCAGCGTTCTGGCACTTCTAGGAGCACCTTGATAACTACAAAAAAAAAAAAAAAAAAAAAAATGTTAAAACCTTTTGTTATTAGTGTTGATTTCTTTATTAAATGAACTTTGTTTTCTTTTAATATAAGATATTTTTTTTTACTTAGTTGCGTCTAAGCTTATTTCTCTGTCCTTTATTTCTCTTAGTTTATTTTTTACATACATAAGTTCACTTTTTTTTTTTTTCTTTATATTTTGTTGGTCTTTATTTTTTTGTAAAAAAATTCTTTACAAGAAATTATAAATAATAGCTTGGGGTTGTTTTTAATTTTTCACCGTGTTATAAAGATAATTTTACAACATTTGGATTGTCGTTGGATATTTTTTCTACTTTATTAAAATGCTTGTTTGTTATTTTTAAATTTGCGTTAACTATTTTTATTATTTCTGTTGTTTTTTTTTTTTCAAATTTCTCAGACATTTTCTTGATCATTTTCACTAGAGTAGTTATAAATAAACTTGTCCCGTTTGGGATGGGCCTGATTATTAATAAACTTGTCCCGTTCGGGATGGGCCTGATTATTAATAAACTTGTCCCGTTTGGGATGGGCCTGATTATTAATAAACTTGTCCCGTTCGGGATGGGCCTGATTATTAATAAACTTGTCCCGTTTGGGATGGGCCTGATTATTAATAAACTTGTCTCGTTCGGAATGGGCCTGATTATTAATAAACTTGTCCCGTTTGGGATGGACCAGATTATTAATAAACTTGTTGTTTTACATTTTTTTTACTTTAACAATTTTTGCTGCAAAAGCGATTGAGTTTTAAATAGAACAAGAGACGACGCTTCATTTATTAAAATTTACATTTTTATTATGTACGGTCAGTGAGAGGTAAATGCCTTTTTATTAATTTTTTCATCAACTATTTATTTTTATCAATTCTCTATTTTTAACTTTTGATGTTTTATGATACTGGTGCTTTGTAATTAGGTTTTGACAGAAATCTTTTATTGTTCACAAATCTTTTATTGTTCCTAAATAATATATAATAAAAAAACGAACAAATAAGTCCATTATGTTTCCATAAAGAACCGTTCTCTTTTGTTTTTCGAAGAGCCTTATTGCGCACCTTATACTGAAAAAATAGGGTAATTTCAGTAGGACAAAATTGGGTATTTCCTATCAAAAATTAAATAAAATTTTCATGACTCAATTTTATTCTTAAGAACGGTTTAAAAAAAAGTTTAAACCCCAATCAATGGCTCAATTTTTATTCTTAAGAACGGTTACTAAACTCAAAAAAGTTTAAACCCCAATCAATGGCTCAATTTTTATTCTTAAGAACGGTTACTAAACTCAAAAAAGTTTAAACCCCAATCAATGGCTCAATTTTTCCACAAGTAATGGATAATATGGAGTATTTATGTTGTTTTTTTTTTTTAAATTTTAATAAATCAGTTAGTTGAAATCCTTTTAATTTTTGGTTTTATTACAACGTTATCTAATGTTTTATTGTTTCCACATTGTAATCATTTTGCTAATTTTTGTGTCTTTTTTAGCTTCTGTGACATTATTATTTTACCCCAGTTTTCCTTATATGGTATTACAAGTATAACTTGTTAGTTAGTTGAGACAAATGTTTTAATAAACAAAAAAATTCAAACTTTACTATCAGTAATTTGATAATTTAGCAAGACGTATTATTATAAAAAACAAATTTAAATAAAAAATTTCAACTTACCAATAATGTTTACTGAAACTAGGAGCGTAGTAAAAAAATTTATAAAAAGTATCATTATGGCTTTTGATTTCTTTCATCGAATACTTTTTATTAATAATATTTTTGGTTTCTGTACAATATAGGTTTTTTTTTTAATACAGGTGTTAAAACAAATCGCAAGCTGTTTGAAGACTGTTTAAATATAAATTTTTAACTAGATATTTAAAATTCGAGTTTAAAAAAGCTAATAAGTACTTTTACGTGTAATTGTAATACAAAAAAGTCAAAGATTCAAAGTTGTAATACAAAAAAGTCGTAGATTCAAAATAATGTTCGAAACTACGGATCAAAAAGCTAAAAAGTATTTCAAACGTGTAGTGCCGTTTTTACCCATGGCTACCTCTAGACCAGGGTACATAACAAAATTTTTCCAGAATGAGTGAATCCTGAGGCCATTTGATGCGCTGAACACGATTATCGGTTAATTTTTGGCATATTCACACTCCTTATGTCGGATTGCGGCCATTTTTTCAAAATAATTGACAAAATCACTATTTTTCAAAGCGGATTTTTTTTTTTCTCCGAAACAGGCCTAATAATATGTCATTTGTAAAGTTTTTCGGGCTAGTAAAATCAAAAAAACACACTTAATCTAAAAAAACATGTTATTTTTCTCGTTTTTGCGCTATTGCACCACTTTCTCCTAAATGTATTTTCTCACCAAGTGAGCCGTGCGGCAAGTCACGTAAGCACATACAGCACACGACAGTCGTCACGCCCGCACTAGTATAAAACAATGGCTACTGCTCCAAAAGCCATCATATCAAAAACATACGCTACAATTGATTCAACAAACACAGTAAATAAAAATAGCGATCGTGTTGTAAAATACCTCTTCGATGAAATTTACAGCAAACAGGAAAAACTCATTGTTTCGCTTAAACTCCAAACTGGAGCACACATGTTGGGTTGAATCCTTCATCTGGGCACCACGAAACCAGGACAGAAGACTCTCAAGAGGATGCCGGTAAAACTGTAGCAGCCAAATTCATCGAAAATTGGATTGCAAAAAATACTTACCCTTTACATGTCAATTATGTTGCTTGGAAATTTCGCACTGACAATCAGAGATTCATCGAATTCCGTAAACAAGAAATAAATAAAATTCATAACAAATTAGACGACTGGTACGTAAAAGTAAATGAGTTCAATGACAGGATGACAAAACACGCGTACGACATACATACTAAAGACAAGTTGAACCAAAAGAAACTGGAGCAACAGTTTGACGTGACAATAACAGAAGAAGATGAACTATTCTATCAAAATAACTGTTTCGGGTCTAGAAAGTGGAGCAAGCAGAAGAAATGAGTACACCGAAAGCTTTCATCAGCTGAGAAAAAAATACAACGGCTTGATGACCACCAAACTGCACGAAAACTGACGTATCCTGCATCACTAAAACATGTTGATAGCAGCCCTTCCAGTAACCTTCCAAATGCAGCAGGCCATAGTATGTACGATATTAAAACCAATCATATAATAGTTATTGATCCAAATAAACAAAGGAAAACAGTCTCTACTGGCTACACAGAAAAGGCTAGTCATTCTGGATCAGATAGAGCATTGTCGTAAAGTTTCAGACGTAAATGCTTAGCAGCTCTAGCTGACGTTACAGTAGATGATATACTCAATTCCATAGACTTCCTCATAACTAGTTGAGCTGGAGACAACGCAACATTACTAGAAAGCCTAAATATGCAAAACTATCAAATGTTCCGCAAATGTAATTTTGGGTGTCGACTATGCTGTAGACAAAACATTCAGAAATGCGAAAGAAAAAGTCGGTGTTCATAAGTTGCTGCATCTTTCGGCAGCCAAAAAAACATACAGTTCTCCCAGCACCAGCATTCAAACTCTTGAGCAAATCGCTATTTCTAAGCTTTTATCACTAAGCCATGTGGGTAATTCTTTCTCTACAACAAGTACAAACAATAGCTGAATGCTAATAATGAGCTCGGCGGGTTCTGTTGATTTATTTCGAACTGGTTCAAAAGAATTGCGAATATTTCCAAACAGTTTATAAAACAGAATTAATAATGCAGTTTTTTAGCAATATGGTTGACATAAATTTTAATAAGTTAGTGCTGGCAGGGTCTACGTACATTCAAAATGATTGATTTTAGTTGTGTGCCGAAATCTATGCTGAACTCGGTGATATCTTGATATTTTCAATAATGGATCTTTTGGGGGTGGATGACCGTAAAATTTCCACGGATGAATGATTTTGGGATGGTGTGCAAACATTTTTTGAAACCAAAATTCCTGAACTCAGTAACCTGAAAGCCGAGAAAAGTCAATCAACCGCTGGTAAAGACCTTCTTATTGGTGCTATTCTGGAAGAAGTATTAGAAATGCTCAATAGACAGTTATCTAAAATGGACTTCTTCAAAAATCCGGATATCACTTGCAAAAAGTTAAAACTGCCACCTCTCACCAACTTGGGTGTAAATCAGAATTCGTAAAATTTGATAACCGAGTCAAAATATGTGGCTTGATAACGTTTTTTATATTTCTATAAAAAACGTTATCAAGCCTCTGAATGATCTTGTCGACAACATTAATCGATTACTGAAAAAGGTTTTAACTGCTAAATACTTAATTATATATTTGGTTCGTAATAAATTTATAAGAACAAACTGTGGCTTATTCATTCATGTCTTAGAATTGTAAATTGTAGCATTTTATTCGCATATAAAATAAACCATTGTTAATGTGTCAGTTTTCCATTTAAATTCGAGTTCCTTGACCCAGAAAACCATAAAAAAGACTTATCACAGGGTCTAGATGTAGGCGTCTAATAAAAAATTGTCATTATAGCATCCATTTTAAAAAATGACCGTGATACGACATTAAACGATGTAGTACAGCAAAATGCTTGATGGATTCATGTTCAGCATGGAATTTGGCCTCAGAAAATGCTTGTTCAGTAAGACTAACTTTAAAAAAGTCCTTATTCAACCTCCCCTATTATCACGGGCATTCACTAAAAAGCTAAAGCAACGGAGAGACCACGGACAAAAAAAAGTACTTTAAAGTTGGAATAAACATAAAATCTTGTGGAGGTTTTTGAATTAATAAAAATTGTTGTCATTTTTTACCCATTAGCATTTGTGGCAACATTTTTTACGTTGTATGACGTGTCATTCAATTCAATTTTTAAAATTATTTAGGTGTTGAAGTCTAGTTTTTACATCAATTGCTTTTACTCAAAATCCCTCGAAGTTAAAATCATGGCTGACTGGGGAAAAAAAATCTAGTAGTACACGGGCTGAGAAAAAAAATCTAGTAGTACACGGGCTGAGAAAAAAAATTATTTTTTTCACGGGCTGAGAAAAAAAATCTAGTAGTACACGGGCTGAGAAAAAAAATTATTTTTTTCACGGGCTGAGAAAAAAAATGGAGAAAAAATGGAGAAGGAAAACTAGGTTGTTTTTGTAATATTCAAAAATTGTGTCAAAAAATTTTTATTTATAGATTAAAAAAATATCTTTTTTAAATCTATAAATAAAAAGATAACAGTGTAATACTTAATAACTTTTATTGTTAATTTTTTTTTTTTTAATTATAACGTAAAAAGGAATTTCTTGATTTTCTTGACCCCGTCCTTGCTCTCCTCAATCGTCCAACCGTGTGCCAGTGCGTTGGCTGAAGTAGTAAAGTCACCAGAGAATTGTATCAATGATAAAAATGAAAGTCTTATCAGTTTCCCAGCCTCAACTAAAACTGTTTAGAAATTTAGGGATTGCTAACAAGAACAAAACTTCTACCAGTCCTGCCAATTTTTCTTTTAATTAAGTTCTCTGGAGTCGCATGAATAATGACTTGATTGGATATCTTATGGAAAATCTATGCAAAGTCGAAACGGAAGAACTAGATTTATTTTACTCAGGGTATTGTTTCAGTGATAGAAGAAATTGACGAGCTTGTGTTTTTTTGGTACTGGAAACACACTGGATCAGCTCTATTTGAACAGTTAGCGAATCATAACCGTAACATTTTGATATTTGTAAGCCGCAGTGACAGTAAAGGCCGAGTTGACTGCGAGTTTATGAATCTGCTTGAAATTGAAAGGCTTACTAGAAGAAAGCGCTACTCCGAGTGGTTACTATAATCAATTTTTTTGCTCATAGACAACAATAAAGTTGTTGTCTATGAGCAGATCTTTTTCAATCATACCTAGATTTAAAACTATTAGAAAAAAAGAAATTTCCATTGGTCAACGGAAAACTACTGATAGAAATGAATTAATTTGCAACAACTGATAGTAATACTCGGTGGAGCAATAAACAAGCTTACGTTGTTCTATTACGTAATCGTATCCCAAATAAAATCTAATAATTGTAAAATAATAAAAAAAATAATTTATAAAAATGTTTTATAAAAAAAAAAAAAAAAATGTTAATTTTATAAATATTAGGTATCAAAATTTTTTTTGATTTTACAACTTTTAAAACAACACCAAAAAAAAAAAATATAAAATAAATATTATTATTTATTTTATAATTTTTTTGTTATATATAAAATTAAATTATAAAAAAGATATTTTTTTTACTGTTGGAAACTTTATTTTTGGATTTGTACAACCTTGTTTTTAAGGGTATATTAAATTTTCGAACTGCGCAACCTGTATTTAAGGGTATATTAAATATATAATAAATAAAATAACGCTTACTGTTAACGTTTTTTTAATCTAAATTATTATGCAATAGTTCTTTAATTGTTTAGTTTGTTTCACACTTATGCTTAACTTGCCCCGCTGTAGGGGATATGTTAAGCATACAAGCGCTTAATATACCCAAAAATCGTAGTTTTTGGGTATGTTAAGTTTTTAATCCATACCCTTTTTAGTTTATGTATTTTTTTGACGTAAAACTTAGATAGTGCTAAATTGTCTCAACTAATGATTGAATATACATAAGTCAATTATCAACACTCAAGTGATTTGGTTAGAAAAAGACATCTTTTAAACGACTTTTGAATGTTGAATATATTTTTTAGACAAATGCCGTTTTTTTTCAAAATGTTAGTTGAGTTGTTTAGTAGCTTATGCTAATGCCATTATTAATGTCATTAATTATAAAATTTTGTTCATTTATAAAAAGTTTACTTTAATATTTTGCAGGTTCAAAATTTTATAATGAATCATAATTCAGCACCTAAATCATAAAGTTCAATTTTTGCACTTAGCGTTTTCTTGATTAGAAGGCAGTATATGTGACTGAGCAAATGATCACTTAGTTAACTAAAAGATTTTTTTATAAAATAATAAAATAAGTAAAATTTTATATAAAATTTGCTGAGATTATATCGAAGTGACGTCATGAAAGCAAATAATACCGTTTCAAAAACCGGGTTAACTGTAATTACAAAGTTAATCTGGTTTTGGATACGGTATAATTGCAAACTTCTCATAAAAGAAAAATGAATACCTTTGGAAATATTTTAGTAGAGGGTACAGAGTTGGTTTGACAAGGTTCTAACTGAAATTTTTTATATTAGGAGAACTTAAAAAAATCTAATATTGTTTTTTTATTTGTTTATGTATTCTTTTTTTGGTTGCTGTATAAAAATACATAAATAAAAAATAACAATATAAATATTTTTATTTAGACATTTAAAAGAAGAAAAAATACTTATTTTCTATTCTCCTAATATAAACAAAATCAGTTAAAACCAACGCAACAGGTTCAGAACAAACCATGTGAAAGTAGGGGTTTTATTTATTTATTTTTTTTAATTTGCTTAAAACATATTTAAGTAAGCTATTTTTGTTTCCACTGTTTCCGGTGTTTTTTAGTGCTAGCTGGTATTTGTTTTTTAATTGATTTTAAATTAGACAAATTAACATTACTTTGAAGAATTTTTTTTTTTTTTTTGATTGCATTTTGAATTAGGTAAGCGTTTAATAAGTTGTGGTGGATTAAAAGATGTTTGGATGTTTTTAAGATTGTCATCGTGATCTTTAAAAGGTTAATGAGTGAAATATACCATTAAGTCATGTTTCACAGACTTAATGGTATATTTTTTCTAAAATTCTGTATTAGCTAGACGTCTTAAATAAAGTCTTTAACTTGTACTAAAGAACAACATTTAATTTATCAGTCCATAATATGATGCGCCACTTTTTGATGTTGATGATTTAGATGTTGGTTTGCGAACTGCAAACGTTTAGCGGCATGTTTTTTTATCAACAATGGAACCTTTCGTGGTCTGTATGCATATAAACTGTTATCTCTTAAGCGTCTACAAACAGTTGTGTCACTCACTTGTAATTCAAGATCATCTTGAACTTGCTTGTCCGATGAAAATGGTTTGCTTTTAACATATCTTACAATTCTTCCGTCTTTTTTTGCGGTAATCTTACGTTTTCCACCTTATTTTTCAACTTTTGCTTTAGAAATTATGGTATTTGAAACCATCTTTGCTGAAAATTCGAGAATATTTTGTATTTATGAGAAAGATTTACCCTCTCCATAATGTTTTAAAATAATGTTGCGTTCTGTTGGTGTAAAATAATGCTGCGTTCTGTTGGTGTAAAATAATGTTGCGTTCTGTTGGTGTAAAATAATGTTGCGTTCTGTTGGTGTAAAATAATGTTGCGTTATGTTGGTGTAAAATAATGTTGCGTTCTGTTGGTGTAAAATAATGTTGCGTTCTGTTGGTGTACAATAATGTTGCGTTCTGTTGGTGTACAATAATGTTGCGTTCTGTTGGTGTAAAATAATGTTGCGTTCTGTTGGTGTAAAATAATGTTGCGTTCTGTTGGTGTAAAATAATGTTGCGTTCTGTTGGTGTAAAATAATGTTGCGTTCTGTTGGTGTAAAATAATGTTGCGTTCTGTTGGTGTAAAATAATGTTGCGTTCTGTTGGTGTAAAATAATGTTGCGTTCTGTTGGTGTACAATAATGTTGCGTTCTGTTGGTGTAAAATAATGTTGCGTTCTGTTGGTGTACAATAATGTTGCGTTCTGTTGGTGTACAATGACTTATTACTTATATTTTCTCCGCTTTTTTAGGTTTTAATATAGTAGAAAAACATTATTTTGAGGTACATGACACAATCAATAACGCTTAGAGTTTCAATTTGTCAACACTAACTTTAAACGAGTTAACTGATTCAGTACTTATGGCGTCTGTAGGTAGCGCATTCCATTCATTGACAATGCGATTAGTGAAGAAATTGAACCTTTCATCACAGTTTTTTACATTTTAAGGTTCAAGTCTAAGTTAATGCCCACGCAAATCGTATTTGGAAATCGATGGTGCGTAGACTTGATGGCTCTTAAAAATGATTTGGTCAATACCTTTTAAAAATTTAAACTGTTGAATGAGATCACCTCGAACTCTCCTGTTTTTAAGTGTAGTTAAGTCGAGATTACGGAGTCTATCTTTATATTGCAAGTGCTTCATTTCCGTTATTGCTTTTGTGGCTTTATACTGCACTTGCTCTAGAGCAGCAATGTCTTTTCCCTTGTGTGGTGACCAAGCCTGGATAGCAAATTCTAACTGGGGTCTAATATAGGTTTTGTAGAGTATTTTCCACAAAAAGAGTCCACGATTTCTTAAGTCAAGTATCGAATAATTTTGAACAGATTTGGAGTTACCACGCCCGACGTGAATAACTTTACATTTATCGAAGTTGAGAGGCATATTCCATTTATGCAACCAATCTACTAAGTTATCTATGTCAATTTTCAAGGTAGTTTTGTCCTCATCAGATTTTAGAACTGCGATTATTTTGCAATCGTCGGCATAAATCTTTATGTGACGAGTAGTATAGTCCGGAAGATTGTTTATATATAATACAAAAAGAAGTAGACCAAGCACAGAGCTCTGGGGTACCCCGCTTGTTACATACTTCCATTTAGATTAGTGCATGCCGATTACAACTCATTGATAAAGGTTCGTTAGCAAGTTTTCTATCCAGTCTAAGACCAAACCGTTTATACCATATGCTTTAAGTTTGTGTAAAGTCTGACGTGTGGAACTCGAAGGCTTTCGAAAAGTCAGTGAAGATGATATCAGTGGCGTAGCCTTTATGCATTGTTTCTGATAGTAAATCCCTAGTCTCAAGTAAGTTCGATGTGCATCCTTTACTATGAAGAAATCCATGCTGTTCTTTGGATATTAGGTTATTGCTAAAACAGTGGTTTATGATTTTTTTGTGTATAATACCTTCTATAATTTTGCAGGGTACCAATGTTAATGATACTAGTCTATAATTGGCTTGGTTCTGCTTGTTGCTTTGTTTAAAAATTGGGGTGGCATTTGATTTTAAAGCTCTGCAATCTGTGAATTGTAAATTGATTTTTGGTAGATCATAGCTAATGGAATTGCGAATGCTGAAGCACAGTTGCGTAACACTCGTGGGTTTATGTTGTCATATCCTTTCGACTTGGTTTCAATGAGTTCTTTTAGTCTTTCTTGGACTGAAGCCGCCAATAGGAGATTTTGGTCTAATGTGCAAGATACATTTGTACGTGATTCAAAACTGGCAGTGAATCTGGTTTTTCAGTAGTGAATACAGAATGAAAGTAATCGTTTAGAATATCTGAGACTACTGCACCATCGGTTACAATGCTTTTATTGTCATCTTCGTGAGCTTGAAGTGAGTTATTTGTTTCTTCTTTTTGTTTAATGTAATCATAAAGTTTCTTTAATTCATTATTGAAAACACTAGCTAAATAATGAATAGCTTCTTTTATTACCTTTGAAACATGTTTACAGGCTATTTTATGCTTACTCCTGAGTGCCTCGTGCGTTTTAGTTCCAGAAGCGACATATTGCCTCCAGAGATTACGTTTTCGAAAAACTGCTTCTTTAACTTCCGGTGTAGTCCAAGGTTCTTTTTTGATTTGGTAAATATTATTTCATTGCAAACTTTTCCATAATTCATTGCCAAGACCAATGTTTATTTCTAATTTATGTTGAGGAATTTTATAAGAAACTAATGATTTAATTTCATCTTCAACATTTTTCATTAATGCTTGACTGGGCATTTTTGCGTAGAGATTGTAGTCTGATAGAACTACAAAATCGAGGAGATCCTATTGGTATCCTATTTTTCCAAAACACAATATCTAGACCGGAAAATTAATTTGCACAAAAATTTTTTAATGGTACAATTGAAGTTAGAAAAATATTTGTATCTGAATTGCTTCCACCAGCAAAAATGTTTATATTCGCTATGACCGTACTACCATCAAACCTCCACCTAAGAATAAGAATGAAATTTGATAAAATATTATTATTTAAGGAGTCAATTACCTCTTTTTTTAAAAAAATTTGTAAACAAGTGTGATATAACAAAGATTCCAGTTTTACTTTTGCGCCTTATTTTGCGCCTTATTTACCTTAGTAACAGTTACCGTGATATCTTAAAATAAAACATTTTATTGGCGCCTTTAAGTCTGTCCTGAGTTGAAATAAATAAAGAATTATTTCCAATTGCAGCACTTCTTATTATGTAATATTTATGTTTAGAAGGTTTTGCTTCCATTAGTTTAAAAGTTTTGCCACATACTTAAGTTATTTGAGTTTCAGACTTTCTTTATACTTTTTGTCTTGCCTTTCCTAAGTTTTCTACCATTTATTGAAATATTGAAACAAATTAGTCTTATTTTGCACAGATGTGATTGTCGCAAAGGTTTAAGTTGGTCATCTAAATCATATGATAACTCGTTTTTCAAAGAGTCAAAATTTTTCAGATGAGTAATTTGTAAATAAAAAAAATCATAAACATATAATAACACTACAGAACTAATTTAAAACTAAACAAAAAGTAAGTACTATATTATTTTAGTACCAAACAGAAATGCAAAATATATAAACAATTTATACATTTTGTCTGTAATGTAAACCTCAACAAAAGTTTTTGCAGATTTATTGCATTTTACAAAATCAGTTTCTAGAAAAAACGCAATATCTATGTCTATATCCAAAATCACTTATTTTGATTAAAAAAAAAAAAAAAAAACGCCATTATGGATCTCAAAAATCATAATATATACTAAAAAAACAACTTTATGAGGAAATGAGAAAATAAGATGCATTTTTTTTTATGTATCTTTAGAATAGACTTTTATGAACAACATCTAAACCGAGATAACTAATATAATGTTCGTAACTTTTTCGACGAAAAATACATTTAAGAAAAGAATTTCTGACATTTGCTATTTTATTGCTAATATTTTTAACATCAGTTTTCAAACAAAAAACTAAAATTTTTTATCAAAACATTATAAAATACCTTAAAAAGTATCGTCCGTGGCTAAATATAACTTTTTTGTAAACAATACTTACTCGAGTACATAATTATATTGTTTATAACTACAAAACACAAGTTTTCAAAAGCAGATGTTTAACTGCGTGGATATAGGTAAATATAAAACGATAGACTTTTTTAAAAAGAATAGAACTGTTTACGTTATTACAAAATAGTAATTTTCATTTCAACGAAGATCAAAATAGTAATTTTCATTTCTTGCCTTTTAGCCAGTTTTTTTGAAAATTTGCTAAATGCGAAGTACCTTAGAACCATATTATTAAATAAAATAAAAATACATTAGCATTTTTTAACTTAAACTAAGCTTTAAACTATCTTAAATAAAATCCACCATTTAATCTAGGGGAGTCTTTTTGGTTTGAGCTTTTGAAAATGTATTGTTTCTGAAATTTTTAATTTATGTAAAAGCTGAATTAATACTTTATATCTGTCTTTCTGAATCTCATAAAGATAAAGATAAATAAATACGATATATTTTTTTCTTTAGATTTGGCTTCTTTGGTCTATTAAAATACATACTCAATAAAGAACAGTTATTTTTTAAAAAAAAAAAAAGCAACGCAAAATCCGTTAAATGTATCCGGTTGCTATAAATAATAGCGACGAGTGATTCGATATGTTAAAAAAAGTTTTTTTTATCACATAGAATGTCATGTAGAGGTAATTTTAGATTCGTTTTTGTGTTTGAAACTACTACTTAGCCATTCCTAAATTTTTACTCTAAGTTTAGACGTCAGGGTTAAATTTAAAAAAAATAATATTAATTTTACTTTTTAAATGCTGTACAAAAAATGTTTTTTGTTTTACATATATAATATATATAAAATAAAAAACATTTTTTGTTTTAAATATATTATAATACAAATATATTATAAACAATATATTATATTGTAAATACTTCATTAGAGTTGCTCCAAGTTTTAATAGTTTAACCGAAGGGCTAGTATATTTAAAACTAAAATTCATTCACAACTAAACATAACGGATTTTAAGTAAAATTTTAAAAATGCTTCAATTCATGAATATTGCTTCCAAGATTAACCACAACTCATTGTTACTTATGCTAAAGCAAAGATTTATTTATTCTTATTTTTGTTGTTATTGTTGTTGTTTTTTTTTGTTTTGTTTTTTTTTTTTTAAAAAAAAAAGAAGTTTTTTTTTAGTCAAGTCTTAAAGGCTTATTTTTAGTTATCTATAAGTTATAAGTTATCTATATTTAGTTATCTATAAGATATATAACTTATATTATAAGTCTGAAAGGTAAACCTGAAAAAAAATGAAAAGAAAATTGTTTGGGGTTACTTATGGAATATGTTTTCTCAGAAAAATGAGTGTAAGCTCAAAGACAAGTTTTCTTCCTCAGGGAATATGCAGAGTAACCTCAATAATAAACCAGTTTAATATAGGTGGCAACTCAGTGTTTTTAAATTTAACATTTATATCATAAAACAACCTATTAACAGTTAAGCAATTCCATTTCAATGTGTGAATTGTTATACTTCATTATTTTTTATAAATAAAAACTGATATTTGAAACAATATATGTACTAATATAATTTTTTTAAAAGAAGTTAATACAAAAAAGTTTTGAGAAACTTTTGAGCGTTTCTTAAAAAATATAATACATGTAAATTTTTATATTATATTTAGCAATAGACATTTAAATATATAATAGTAAAATATATAATAGACATTTGAATAAAAAGATTAGCATTTGTATTGTTTTTAAAAAAAGTATATAAAATGTATACAAATTTATATATGAGTTTTTGGAGTTTCTGAGTTTAGAATGCCTGGTAATATAATATATTGTTTTTACTTTTAAATTAAAAATAGAAAACAATCTATTTACTTATACAAAAAAGAAATTTAATAAAATTTATAAGGTACAAGTATATTGTTTCTGTTTTAGGTTATGGTGTTCTATACAAAAATGACTGTTTGCTAAAACAGATTTTTAAAAAAACAAGTCTTTTAAAATTACTGAAAAGAACATTGTGTGATGATGTTTCAACAAAAAATGTAGAAATAGACAAGAAAACAGAAATAACTCCTAAGCCTACTGACATTGTTGTGGATAAATCCTGTAAGTATTTTTACAAAATTAATTAATATGTTTGAGGTGAAAATTTTTTATTGATAATGCTATATTAGCATTTGACACATTTTATTTTTATATAACCAGTGTTCAATAAAGTTTTTTAAGTTATTAAAATTAAATTTATAGTCTTAGAAAGTAAGAACATTTAGTTAGTTTTTTGTCACTCCATTATCTGAATATTCTTTTTATTATAATTTTTGTTGGTCATTCTTTTTTCAGCTGAAAAGCCATTTTATCACAAACCAAGAAAAATAGACTATAACATAATCTACACGAAGAATACCTCAATATCAGCATCAAGAGCAATCAGTGATTACTTACTTACTATAGAGTAAGTAAATAATGGTTTAGATATACCCCTGAATATGTGTTTATGTTTTGAAATTTTATTTTTCTAAATTAAGTTTCCAAGATCTAAATTTGTTTTGATTTTTTAGTAGAAAATTTGTAAATTTTCAAACCCATAATTGTAAAAATACAAACGAACAAGCAATCTTGGCAAATTTTAAAGATGAAAAAATGTATTTATTAAAAGGAAAAAAGTATATTTTTTAAAATAAAGAATAACAAACCCACAAGCAGTATTAGCCGATTTTAAAAATGAAAAAATTTGTTTATGAATAACAATTACTTTTAAAAACAAACCTGCAAGCAATTTAGTAGCTAATTTCTATATAAAAGGTAAGTTTTTTGTGCACCAAGGACATCAAAAAAAGTTGAGGAAGAGTTCATTTCAAGTGAACTCTTCAAGTCTTTGTCGGTTCGACTAACACTATTAAACCTACTAACATTGTGTGCAATTCCTGTCCACTTTATCTATGCTATCTTTCTAACACGACTACTCTTCTGTCTTTCACTCAAATATGCCTTTGTTTTTCCCAAACTCACTTCACTCTTGGTACGTAGTGCAGGTGATGACACTCCTTAAGGCCTTTGCGGGCCTTGGTAATGTGGCCTCCGCAAGGCAATTAGCTGGCGGAGGATAAATTACAATACCTTTATACCAAGTGAACTCCAATCAAGTCTTTGTCGGTGTACATTAGTTAGGTGACCTAACTAAAAGTACGTATTGCACCCTCTAACATTGTGTGGAATCCTGTCCGCTTTCTTCATACTATCTTTCAAACTCAACTACTTCTGTCTTTTACTCTAACATGCCTTCATTCTTCTCACCTTACTCTCTGTAAGGTGAGTATGGCGTTCCTTAAGGAGCTGAACTAGTCTTTGCGGGCCTTGGTAATGTGGCCTCTATATGGCAATTAGCCGGAGGAGGATAAACTACAAAACCAGAGTTCATATTAAGTGAAAGAAAAGATTATGAAAAAGTAAAAACAAAACATTCCGTATTTAAAATAAAAAAGGTTTAAGTCAATTAAGTTTGCTTTTTTGCAGCAATTAAAAAAAAACACTTAGTTTTATTAGGATTTGCAATTATTTTAATGAATTAGGCTTTTAAAATTGTTGTTTTAGTCAAAGTTTGTCTTCTCCATTTTTTTAGGTTTTCAGAGTCATTATAATATACGTCACAATATATAGACTGCATAATTTTCTTTATGTGCGTTTAATTCATAACAGTTTCAGTATATGACTTATAAATGTAACTTTAACACGGCTTTGATATTTACATTGTTAAAAGTTATATTGTTCATCAGCATATTTTAAAGTTCAGCAATATAATTAAATTTAATTTTAAACAGCTTTAAAAATCATTTAAACAAATATAACAATAAATTATGAAATCTAAATCCGAAAAAAAATAAATTAAATAAATAAACAAAAATAGTGAAATCTAAATTCAGTATTTGAAAAAGATTATATTTCTTTACAATTTATTTCTTAAAACAATCTTATAGTCATACTTAATCTTTTGTTTGTTTATCACAACTTATTTATTTTTTGGAAATCATTATTTGTAAGCGCCATCAAATTATGTCCGCATAATAGAATTTTTATTTGTACCAATAAGATATTCTTAAATATAATTTATATTCATAAATAAATGTCAAAAGAACTTTACAAGTTATTGAATTAATAAGAAACAAAAAATTTTAAAAACATTTGTGAAATTTAAACACAAACACTGCTCATAAACAAAAACATTTCTCCTTTTTTAAAATTTAAATTATTTTTATTGTTTACTCATATTTTAATCTATGATGGCGAGACTTATCTTTTAGTTAGCAAATAATAAGAAAAAAATTTCTTTATTAAATATTACTATTTTACATTCCTTTGGAACTAAATTTTATATTCTATGTTTTGCTAACTATTTTACATTCCTTCAAAACTAAATTTAAATTTTTAATCTGTAAAATCATTTTTTAATTAAAAGTCTTTTTAAAAAAATGTATATAAAGTAATAAATTTCTTTAACAAAAAAGTTGTGGTTAATTGCTTTTTTTCCCAGTGAGCATCAAATATTGCAACAATTTTATTGTATATCTACACAGTTTTATTTTGCCATTATTTTGCATGGGCAATCGCCCTCCATTCCTGCCAAGGCCTCTCTCTCTCTCTCTCTCTCTCTCTCTCTCTATATATATATATATATATATATATATATATATATATATATATATATATATATATATATATATATATATCCACACACACACACACACACATATAGCTGCAGTGAAAAAAAATTGCATTAGAGAGGGAAAACTTATTTCAAATTACTTTGCAAAATACTTAGGAGAAGAAAAAAATGTTTTTACAGGTCAATTTATCAAAAGTTTTTTTATAAGTGAATTATTTAGATAAATAATATAGTTTTTAATTTGTTTAATACACATATAATACTTTCTAATGGAGCTTGTGCTCAAACTAAGCTATCTTTGTGTTGATTTTTTATAGAATTTTTTTTTTATAAATATTTAAGATTACTAGTTTTTTAACAAAACAAAAAAGACATTAACAGTCTATCTTTGTGAACTAATTGTATAATATAAGCTCCTGCTAGGGTTCAACTTAGTTGACTTTTAATTTTATTCAAGCATGCTTAATTACTAAATTTAAATTAATCATTACAGATGAATGCACTGCAAAAACTAAGGCACCCCAAAAACAGCGTGATCATTATATATGGCTATATAATTAAAATCTGTATTTTAAAACCATGAAAAAAATGTTTTTTTTATACATGAATATTCCAGCAAAAATTAAAAAAAAAAAAGAAAACAAAGATAACAATATAGGAAAATTTTTACAAACGTTTTCAGTTAAAAAAAGTATAAATTTTTGATGATTTTTATTTCCCTATTTCATTGTTCATCATTGTTGGATCATTGTAAGTTTAATGATTTAATTTCAACTTATTTTTCTTTTTCCAGCGCAGTTCGAGCATTAAATGATAATTTGTGAAACTTCCTTCCACCCTTCATCTTTGTATTAGTGTGATGTCTAATACATAGCACATTTAGAATTAACTTGGTTACTTCCTGTTTATTAATTGCTTGTAAAGACCTGTTCTCATTTTTTATAAAACGAGCAATACATGCCTCTTCATCTTTTGTAAGTATAGTACAATAAATTCTTTCTTTTCTATTAATCACTTTGCTTATTTCTTTCATGAGTATGTTTTCTGGCAACTGTGGCATCAGCTTTTGTACTAAGATTTTTTACTTTGTTTAAACATTAATGTAAAGAAGATGTTGGTTTCATTTTACTTACTATTAATAAATACTATAAATATAATAAACGAAACTTTAAAATGACAAACAAACAAAAAAAACATAACATGCTTCAATGGCAGTATTTCCGCAATAAATTAACATAAATAGTTAAACTTTATTATAGATGACAAATAGAAAAATCTTAGAGTAAACTATATAAATATTTTATTAAATTATTTCAAATCTTTTCCAAAATCATCAAAAAACCAACGTGGTTTTTGAGGTGCATATGATGTGGTTTTTGTAGTATATTTGAAGTGTTCATTAAAATATAAGTTAGCAATGATGCAATCATCTTAAGAGCAATTTATTATAACAATCTTCTTCAAAAAATCAGGTTAAAATTCTTAACAGTTAAGAAATTATAGCCAAATTAGTTGATGTGGTTTTTGAGTTGCATGACGAAAAAAAGAGTCAGCTTCAACATTCAAGCAAAAGAAAACAAGTGAGACATAATAAACCATACCTATTAGGAAGAACCCCATTTAGGCTTATCTTTCAATAGTAATTTTAAAAATATTGTTTTTCTCAAAAAAAAAGTTCTAGACTCTCCTACTTTTACGTGGTTTTTGGGGTGCAACCACCTGTACTAAATTTTTTAAATAATTGATTTTTTTTATTTTGCCTGAAATTTTTTTCTATATAAACAGTTTTTATTCTATTTATTTATTTCAGTTTTATAGATATTAAATTCTTTGTAAACATGTTTAACACTGCCTGAAAATTGCATTATTTATTTAGTTTTTATAAACAAGAAAAGGATTGTATCAACTGCAAGCCTTCCCGGGAAGCGCCTGCGGTCGCACACCTTGTACGTCTACGCCTAAAGTAATTTTTAGACAACTTGACCATGTTTTTATATAGTAAGCATTTTAAGATTTCGCAGCACAATAAAGCTATAAGAAACTAGAGAATCAGCAATACTTGAAGAAAAGAACCAAAGACTATAGAAAATCTAAATAAAATTAGCTAAAAAAAAATAATTAATAAACAAAGAAAATTGTTGTCAAAAAAATAATATTCATAAATATTTAATGTTTTTGTTTTCTTATTTTTAGAGAGTTTGTTATTTTCCACTACCAAAATTTATACAAGTCGAGGAAAAAATTAGATAATTGTATAACAAAAATAAAAATATTTTTTGATATCTAATTTTTTCGCAACTTTTTTCAGTCAGTATATAAAGGAAATACTTTATAAGTTGCACTAGAAACACAGATAATTTTTAAATTTGTTTTTCAAATGTCTTTGCTAAACTTTACTGTTTTTATCAATGCACAGGAAAGCGAGAAAACTTATTGCTTTTTATTTGTGAAAAAATTGGGCAGTATAAAAGAAGCAACTCCATATATGCATCAAATGCCATAAATACATTTATTAAAGAAACTATGTTATTCTTTTATTCAACTTATTCCATCATTAACAAAATTTATTATTTAAATAATATTTTTTACAAATAATTAACAATCCATTTTCTTATTTTCCTATTCTATAAGTATTGAGAAAAAACCTCAAATACAGCAAAAACGTTTTGAAAAGCGAAACGACATAAAAACAAATAAATATAATAAACAATAAACATAAGAAAAAAAACTAACGAAATTGTTTATAGTTCAAGCGTAAATAGCAACTTAGTTTCTTAATTATATGGACTGATAAAAATCGTGAATAAATTGCATATTAAAACTTGTAATTGTTGCTAAATCATTATAAAAAATGTTTTTTTCAACAACAAATCTAAAAAAAAAGAATACAAAAGTTGTATTAAAATTTTATAAAAAAACTTTTTTTTTTAATTTACTTTTTTTAATTAATAAATTTTCTAGTTTATTTAATTAAACTTGATATTTCGTTTCAATTTTGTTTCCTTATTTAAGAATTTTTTTTTTCTTAGTAAATAAGTTTAATATTGAAATGCTTTATAAGTTAAAAGATGCGACCTACCGTGGTCAGTTAGTCTAAAAAAATTTTAAACATAGAAGAACAAAGCGTGCGACGGCACACGCTTTTCGGGAAGGCTTGCAACTGGTAAAAATTATAATAAATTGTTTATATTTTAAAAGATAGATAAAATAAATATTCAATGTTTGTACATAATAATTTTTTTACTTATTTCATGAATTTTTTTAGATTATTTTTGTTATGTCTTGTATACTTTTATTTTAAAAATGCCTTTAATAGTTTTGGAACAGAATCTACCAAGTTTTACAGTTTGTTAATTATAGTGACTTGGCAGGTTTACGACAAACAAAAGTTCGAACAGCTTATGATTCAAGCGACTTACCTGCTGACCAGTGTTATTTAAAGTTAGATGTCGAAAAAAGGTTTGTATATAATAGCATATTTTCTTTATTGAGAAACTTTATCTATACTATTTATCAGGATGTTGATTTGGGCCATACCATGGTTCTTAAATTATTTTTTCTATTTGAGGCTTTTCACTCGTGATTATTGAACTTTTTAACACATTTGACACATTGCGCTCATGGTTTTTGAACATCTGTTTGACACACTGCACTCATGATTCTTGAATTTTAATTTTGTTAAAATTGAAGTTAAATACATAAGTTCTTGCTTTTTGAAACGATTGTTCAAATAACTTATTTTGCATTTCTAATTACTGTGATTTTTATCTAAAGAGCTTTAGAGCGATGGGGTAGTATGGAGGCTCTGGAACAAGAACTTTTTAGAAGAAAGGAAGCTATGGAAGCAGGAGAAAGATACAGAAAAGGTAAAACTTTCAAAATTATATCTGAGAATTCGAAATTTGTTCATCTACCAGATGAACAACTGTTGTGATGGCATAATATTCCTTTGAAGCCATAAAATCGCTGAAAAGGGCGACTATTGATATTTATCCGCAGTTCTAGTTTTTTTTTGTTTTTTTTTTATAAATTTCAATGTACCAATGTTTGTTTTCTGCTTATTCTCATATTTATTTTTGTTAAGTAATAGAACATAAGAAAATTGTACAAGCATTTAAATGTATTTAAAATAATACTTCCTAATTAAAAACTATGAATTTTTATCGTTTAAACAAATATACTATTTTATTTTTATTTTTTTACAAATTCTATTTAAGGATTTTTGAGATAAAGTAATAGAACTAAATTTGTCGAAAACTTTGATAGACCTTGTTAAGAAGCATTACAGCTCACATTTCACGTACACATTCAGTAGTTTTACTTTGTGTCAAAAAAATTTTATTTTAGAATACTTAAACTATCTTTTAATATTGTTTATGTGACGTTTATTCAGAAAATATTAGGTTGTAAAAAAAAAATTGTGGAGATTTTTATTTGTCTAAGTTTGAGTGCCTTTTTTTTTTTCCAGGTTTGAGTGCGTTAATTGGGCATTTAAAGAAAACTGTTAAAGATCAAACAAAATTAAAAGATGACAAGCAGGTAATTTATTTTAGTTGTTATAAAATTTATAGAAACTAAAGTAAAAAAGTTGTTACAGAATATAAAAGTTACAGAGACATTTAAGGTTTAACTGACTGAAAGTAAAGATTTTATTTGTTTATAAAATCAATATACGGAGTTCATGCACATTTTTTATCGTGTATGGAAAACAAAGATATAGTTTAGTATAAAATGATATCTAATTAGGCCACAAGCAGCTACTATGTTAAGAGTTCTTAAGAAAATCATTTAAGAAATTCCCAAGTAAAATCAAAATATTTTTATCAATCAAAAAGTAGTATTTATTATTTTAATCTAAATTTATCAAAATATGTATTCAAAAATAAGGTTTCTTTCGATTAAAAATAATCATGTTCGCTGCTTAAACACATCTCTAGCTCGTCATTCAGCAAAGTCATATCCTTTTACTGTATTTACCCCTTTTTGCTCTAAAAATATTTATTCATCTAGTTTCTTTTCTTACACATCAATACTTTTGAATTCTCTTCCATCTTCAGGTTTTCCTGACTCATACAAATTACAGCTTTTTAAGTCTTTTTACAATTGTTTTCTTTCTAGCAATATTTTTTGTTCTCTGGTAACTCTTAACTTAAATAGTGGTTGCTTGCAGTCTTGTTGGGAGTAAATTAGTTTAAAAACAAGTAAATGAAGAATAATAGCAGAATATTTGCGTAAAAAATAAAGTACATCAAGGAAAGTAAAAATTATGTTGCAACTTATGGCCCCTAATTTCTAAAATACTTTATTCCTAAAACTTTTTATTACTTCTTACTAGTAACTTTGAATTTTACAACAATGCTAAAAAAAAAAAGTTTTTAGAAAGCTTGTTAACGTTTCCAAATAAGTTGTATAAAAATTCAAAAACAATTATAGTTTTTATTAAAAAAACTTTTTGAAAAATAACTGTTTTTTTTAATAATTTTGCTTCTTTAGAGAACATTTGACATTTGTACTTTTAAGTCTATTTAAATTTTACAAAAGTTTAACAGAGTTACTTATGGTAGCATAGTTTGAAAAATTTGTCAGCTATTATAAATACGGAATTTAGTTTGTTGTAAGTTTAGAGAAATGCAAACCTCTTCTATTTGGTAATATTACTCTTTTGTAAAAAGGTTTGTGTGCCACAATGCCCTTATACGGTTTATAACCTTTTAAAACAATTTTTTATTGAGTTCAAACATTAAATTGGTTCCTGAAACCAGCAATGTGTTGTTTTTGATCTAACAAAAACTAAAAAGGAGATTGTGGGAAACTAGACTTGTAAGAAAAACCGGCTACTCCTGTAAAACAAAGCAATCAAAAATCTTCCAAATATGTGAATAAGTAGAATTCATCATTATTAAAACAAATTGTAATGGTTATTGTTTAAAACAAAAAATATATATATTTTGTTTGAAACAAAGAAACAAGTTTTTGTATAAAATAAATTTCAAGCTTTGTAACAATGCAGGTCCTAAAAATTTTGGATATCAACTTTCTCAAACTTTTACAATTACTGTCTACAAATAATGTATACAAATAATGTAAAGCATACATTCTGTATACTTTACAGTATACTTTATGTTGTATTTATCTTATATGGTAAACAGCATACTAAACATTTAACTTTTAACAAGCAATACCTACATACAATCAATTTTTCTCATTTGTTTTTGATATTTTTTTTCCTTGCTGAAATCGTTTTTCGGTTTAAACTGATAGCGCTAATTTGATGTTTAATTAAAAATTTATTGTTTTTATAATTTTTGAGTAAAGTATTTAAATCAATACTTAATAATTATTTAAATTACTTAATTAAGTTTTCAATCACTCAACCTGAGTTGGAACAACAAGATTAAAATATAGATAAAAAAATATTGTTTAATATCATATTACAATAATTACTAATAGCCAAGTTTTTTTAGATAAATAATATGGGGCATAAGATTGAAGTTTTAAGTGCTTTTCAGAAAGTGATGAATGATTACCTATTAGAAGCTCTTCTGTTATTGCCTGTTATTATTATTCTGTTTTTTTTTTTCAAATAAAAAACTCTGATATGCTTAACTATTTTCCACTTTTATTAAGAGATGTTTAATTTTAAAGATAAATAATTTTTTTTTATAATTTACAATTAATAATTTAAAAGTCACCATAAATTATTTTTATTAGGCAGTAAAAAAAGCCTAAATATAAAATAAATTTGTATTTAAAAATCAACTTTAAGCTCTAGTGAGTTCTAGCTGTTTGCAATTTTATTATTTATTCCAAAATAATCCATTAGTTCATAATACGAAATTGAGCATATAAAGTACATGATAAAAATTTTTTAAGTTATTTTATATATGCAAATGCCTTTGCATGCATAATTAAATAAAATTTAAAATTCATAAATGTTTTAAAATTATTGATTTTCTGATAACATGTCTTTTAACTAAAAACAAGTCAAGTGAAACTAATAATAAAATACTACACATGCACGTTTTTAACTGAAAGATAATTTTACATGCTGACAACATCTTTTTTTAATTTTCAAAAAATTAAATTTGGAAAATTAAAAAAAGATGAATTTAATATAATAATAAAAAGACTGTTACAAACAGTTTTCAAACATTTTTAATATTTTTCTAGTTTTTTTTTTTTTTTTGAGAGAACTTTTTTAAGTTTTAAAAGAATTTAGTTTTTTTAAACTTAAAAAAAACTTTTTACTCTTTTAAAAAAGATGGCAGTTTTCTTTTGTTTATGTTTTCCTTTGTTAACTTAGTTATTTGGAACAAAAGCTCAAAGAGAAAGCTTGCTAAAAGGATCTGGCAAAGTGGTTTTGTTTGCTGTTGCCTCGTAAGTGATCTGGATTCTATTGGTTTACTTTTTTCAAGATGCAAAACATTTTCAGAACATTCTCCCTGTACTTGCTCAGGAATTTGGTGGTAACATCAATTAAGTTTGGAGCATATATTTATACAGGATCAGCATCAATGTTGTCTGAAGCTATTCACTCGCTTGCTGATGCTGCAAACCAGGTTTATTTTCAGTTTTTGAAAATTAATTACATTTTGTTTTCATTTTCAGAAAATTAAAAAATATTTGCAGTTTTAGTTAATAAAAAAAAAAAAATGTCTTATAGATAATGGTATATTAAAGAAAGTAAAGTTTTGTATTTTAGATGCTTCTATATATTGGAATATGGCACTCAATCAAAAAACCGTCACCTGATCATCCGTAAACTTTTTTTTGTTGTTATGCAGTAGTTCTGTAATTTAGAATAAATTTATGCAGGATTTTAAATTTGGTTAATATAAAACTAACTTAAGATTATAAAAATGATTTAATTAAATTTTTAAAATGCTATTATTCATTATTATATAAGCAAATCACTCATAAAATATTACAATAAATTTCTGAAGCTGTAAAAAAAAACTAAAATAAATTTAAATAATTTTTTTTTTTAATTTGTTTGGGTTTTTAGCTTGTTTTAGATTATTAGATTATCTCTTAGCTTATAAGATAAATACCTGACTTTGAGGTTTAATTTTAGTATTAAAATTATTTTTAAGTATTTTAGCTTACCTCTCAGTCAAAAAAGAAAAAAAAATAAGAAACTGCAACGAAATTTTTAACTTCACACAGAGTTGTGGAGTTAAGTAGAAGGTATGGTGTCCCATGCTCAAAAAGGAAGAATTTTCTTAGAGATTTTATATGGTTCCAGGCTCCTTAGAAATCATTCTAAGGAGCCTGGAACCATATAAAATCTGGAACCTAGCAAATTTCAATAAAAAATTGAGTCTTTTAACCTGCAGGCACCAGATTGATGAAAGTTAAAATTTAGCGTTTCAGCTCCAAATAAGATAGAGAATTTTTCAGGCTGTTCCATAATTAGTCCTTGGAAATGTGCTTGGAAATTGGCAACTTTATTTTAAAGAGAAATATTACACAATAACTAAAGTACAGTTTACCATGATTTCATAACATAAGGAGCTCATTGAGGCTGCAAGTCACACAATCTTTTGAATAATATTTAGCATTATGGTAATATGTTCCAATAGTTTGGTATTAAAGTAAAATAAGTAAAAACTACAAGATGATTAATGATTGAAATGCACATAAAGTTTCTTTCATGTTCTACATATTTTAACCATTCTATAAAGTATGCTTTAGGATCATCCATATCTACACATCCAGGTTTTAAAATTGCCAAACAAAATCTTATACCAACATTGAATCTTGTTGCTGGATTTGCAGTACATACAATAAGTTTTTCAAAATTTTGTATTTTCTTCTCTCCCATTATCTTTTTTTTTTTTTTTTAACTTTCTACTTATTATCTGAATTTTAAATTAATCAGTTAATTATATAACAGTCTAGGGTGAATGACAAATTTAAAGGTGCAGCTTGTGGTTTTACTGATTGGAGCTTGCTTTTTACAGCATAAATTAAATATTGTACAAAAAGTAAAAATTTGGTACCCTAATAGATTTTTACTTGTAGAATCCAAAAAGAGCATCCTCAAGACTCGGTTGTCTTAGTAAATGCCTCATTTATCCAATTTTGTTCAAAATTATTGATTTGTAAATTCATGATTTTTAGAGGTAAAATGAAGAATGTGGCCCAAAATCCCGAATAAAAAGTTTGTATATCAATATTTCATCTTAGGTCTACTGATAAAAATCAGATTCATCAATTGTCTCGCTAATACTTGTTCAAAATTTGCGTTTATAAAATGTGTCTTTTTAGAAAGATTTAAATTTTGTAACAAAAGCAATTAAAATGTTTTTTAAAACATTTATTTGAATAAAACAACAAATAGTGTTATTTACTGACTAGTTTAGGACGTTTATAGTTATCGGCCAAGGGAGGGCCAGGGGACCTCTGATCAATTTTGCCCCCCTCCCAATCTCCCTGGATTTTTTTTTTTTTTTTTTTAATGCATAAAATGATATAATAATAAATAGTTATAAAAATTCAATTTGAAAACATAATTTTTTTTTTTTAGTTTGAGTTTGAGAAACAATTTATTTTCATTATTTACCTCTAATTTCAAAGTAAGCACTCAAAACTAAGATCTTTTCACAATTTTCAAAATCATAAATTTTAAAACCAAAGATATTGAAATGTTTTTTAACATATTTTAACAATCAATATCTTTATGGTATTATTTAATAAATTAATACTAATATAGTCATTGACATAATAAGGTGGACAGTGGGATTTATTCAAATCCCCCTCCTTCTCAGCCTTCCAAACAAGGATCAAAAAAGAAAAAAAGAAAGACAAATTCTAAATGCAAATAAGGTAAATAAAATTACAACAAAATTATTTTAAATGTATTTAATTTTTTTTTTTGTTTGTTACTAACTGTTTATATTCTCCAAATCTAAATCAGATATGTTGTATGTACGACCTGATATTGTTGTGGGTGTAGAAATTAGGCATAGTGGCAATGATTGTAATAGTAGTATTGTACGATCGGTACTCTGCCATTGCTTGAATGCTACATCTTCTTCGAGCTCATGGTCCATAAACTCCTGTACTAAAAAACTTTTTAATGCTTCAATACCAGGGCATTGGTTACATCGATGCAACATTCATTCTGCCGTTTCAAGCGAACAAACAATCGATGCCATGAAATCTTTATAACTTTTATTCCACCTAATGGCATCAATGCCATTTATTCCAATGCATTTTTTTCCACTTAATGGCATCAAGTATTTTGGTGATGTATGCATACATTATGAGTACCTGACGCCTTAGTTGTAATTAAGGTTTAAGAGTACAAAACTTTGACAAACTGACTTTGACATTAGGGTAGTCTTTTTTAAATGCAACATGTAATTCATTTAGATTGAGTAGCAATAATCTTTTTTGAACATGTTGGTTTTTCTTAACACTTACAAAATTGTTTTTCCTGACATCGTTCTTGAAAATTTATCACTTTGATAAGTTAATCACTAAATTAACTGTTTCTGGTGAAAGTGGGTTTCCAGTTTTTTTTTGACAATAATAGAATATCATGCTCATTTTTAACTTTTCTTGCAGTTCGAACAACATACTCAGTTACTTCAAAGTAGCTTGATATCTTTGTACGTGTCCATGATTTTGGTGCAAGTGTTAACATTTGCACCTTATGGCGATAAGAGTCAGTCTCTGAAATTTTTTTTTTTTACTTCATACATTAAAATGTCTAGATCATGTTCATTGTTAATATTGTTGTTTGAAATGGGGCTTTTTGTTTCTGTTGTTAAAGAAGTCTTTTTAATGTTATACTAATGAGACCATTTTTGCAACTCTGTCAATAGTGTTCTCAAACTTTTGTTTTGCTGCAGGCAATTTGCTGTATTTTGAAAGACTTTTTAGTTTGATTGGTGAAATTCCAAGCAATTCTATAGTGGTATCTAAATTAATTTTTTTTTTCTCACTTTTTGGATCCCAATCCTCCTGTGAATTTAAATCTCCATCTGTTTCTACTGCTTTTTTGTAACATTTACTGTAGAATTTCCAACCTAGGGTTACATAAACATTATTTTAATGCAAAAATTTTGCAGAGTCTAGTGAAATCTTTATATTACTTAAGAAACAAATTTAGTTTGTTAACTGAGAATATAAAATTTTTTATAAATAATAAACTGTTTTTCTTTTAATTTCCATATCAATTATGTTGTAATTAATGTTAGATTACCTTTTAAGCAACTTTTTTACTTTCCTTATGTGTTCCAAAAGGATTGGAACACTGTAATTTTTCTCTCAAAATATTTTGAAAGTCTTAAAATTCATTGCCAC